AAGGCCATATCCTTAAGGTACCAATTGCTATCAAATATAGTTTTCAACAAGAACTATCACGGGCAGAGGTTACACAAAGCTGGCTGCCTTAATACTTTGGGGGTATTAGCTATGCAGACTGCTTGCTGTTTGTTTTGTTGTTGTTGATATTGTTTTGTACCAGGGATTGAACCTGGGACCTTGCGCTTGCAAGGCAGGCACTGGAACCACAGAGCTAAATGCCCAGCCAGACCACTGCTGTTTGAAGGCCAAGGTCTCTGGTCTTTTTTTCCTTTTGGTACTGGAGATCGAACTCAGGACCTTGCTCTTGCAAGGCAGGCGCAGTGCCAATGAGCTAAATCCCCAGGCAAGAATAGTTTGTTCGTTTGTTTGTTTGGTACCGGGGATCAAACTCAGGACTTTCGAGGCAGGCAGCAGAACCACTGAGCTAAATCCCTGGCCCTCTGGTCTTTCTTTAATGGTAGAAGAGGACTCATAAGAAGTGAAGAAGCGGTGCTGCCCAACCAAATTAAAGTCGTTACCAAATCTGCTCATTCATTCATTCATTTTTCCTGCATCGCTGCCTTGTGAAGTGCGCTGTGTGAGGCAGGTACTACCAGGTACTACAAGAAGTGGAATTAATTCAGAGAACACCAAAGATCCCTCTAAAACATGCCTTAGAGGAGCACTGAAACAATCAGGAATGGTTATCCTGGAAATAAGAAGATTCTAGGAAAACACAAAAGCCCTCAATATTTCTACCTTTTTTCTTGTAGAGATGAGCTTGGTTTGTAGAGGGTCCCAAGGAAGTAATCAATAGGTGGCAATCACAATCAGAGCCCTAAAGGAATCTGACACCACTTCAGATTGCATCACCCATGATTCCATCGCCCGAGGGCAGTCACTCCTAATACTGACACGTTTCCTTCTTCTTTTTCTTTCTTTTTTTTTTTTGGTACTGGGGATTGAACTCAGGTCCTTGCACTTGCGCAACAGGCCGCGAAACCCCGACCCACATTTCCTTCTTTCTGGGTTTATTTTTTCTGCACACTTTCTCTTTAATATAGTAAAATTGTGGGGGCTGGGGATTTAGCTCAGTGGTTTCACCGCCTGCTGCACAAGCACAAGGACCTGAGTTCGGTCCCGGGTACTAAAAAAAAAAAAAAAGTAAAATTGTACCAGATACACAATTTCTGTTGAAAGTTAGTTCTCTAAACTATTTTGTAGAATTCCAACATATACTAAAGCATTTCTTTACTGTTAGACGTTATCGTTGAGTGGAAAAGAAGGGGTTTTTTGTTTTGGGGGGGTTATTTTTTGGTACTTGGGATTGAACTTGGGACCTTGCGCTTGCGAGGCAGGTGGTGGCACCACTGAGCATTTTTAAATCCTTGGCCTGGAAAAGTAGTTTTTGAGACACTGTCTGATTTGACTCTCACTGGCTGTACAATCTTGGGAAAATTAATCTTTGTGCCTCGGTTGTCTCATTTGTAAAATGGGGATTACACTTCACAGTTATATTACAGGAGCTGCTATGGCCTAGAGCCCCCCCCCCCGAAACTCATGTTGAAATCCTAATCCCCAGGGTGATTATTTTTATTTTCTTTTATTTTTGAAACAAGATCTCACCATGTAGCTCAAGTTGGCCTTGAACTCACAGCAATCTTCCTGCTTCAGCCTAAATTCTGGGATTACAACAGATTGATTGCTTTCGTTTGCTTTGGTTTTTAGGGTTTGAGTCAGGGTCTCAGGTAAACCAGGCTGGCCTGAGACATGTACTCCTCCAGCCTCTTTCTCCCCAGTGGGAGGATTACAGGCACAAGCTACCATACTCAGAAAGGTGACAGCTTTAGGTAAAGCTTGGGGGTGTGATTAAGTCACGAGGGCCCCATTCTCATATATTTAGTGCCTTTATAAAATAGGTCCAAGGAAACTGGTTTGCCCCATCTACCATGTGAGGACAAAGACAGAAGGCACCATCTGCAAATCAGAAAACATCCCTTGTCAGACACAGAAAGAATCTGGTGCTTTGATTTTGGACTTCCCAGCTTCCCCGACTCTGAGAAATAAACGGCTACTGTTTAAGCCACCCAGTGCTCTGCTACAGAAGCCCAAACAGGTTAAAACAGGACCCAAACTTGTGTATCTTCTACACTCCAGTGGTTATTTGGGCCTCTTTTAATAGCATCTATCATATTTTGCCACCAACATTTATTGAGTTTTTACTAAGTAATGCAGTTCCCTAACAATTGAAGACCCTCTGCTAATATACAAGGCATCTTGCTCTGTGCAGTAATATGAAGGAAATAGAGCTCCAGCCCTCCACTAATTGGTATTTGGGGACAAGAAGTAGACAGTCATTTAACCTGTGTTGTGAATGCCAGACAGACCAAGTTCCAGTCCAGTTTAGTCTTTCTTTTTTTGTTGTTTTTTTGCTTTTTGGTACCGGGGATCAAACTCAGGACATTGTGTTTTCGAGGCAGGCGGGGAAACCACTGAGCTAAATCCCCGGCCCCTAGTTTTGTCTTTCTTTAGGAGAACAGGGGGAAATTACTTAATTACTAAGCTCCAAATTCCTCAGCTAAGCAACAAGAATATTTACTGAGAAGTATTCTAACACTTGAAAAAGGAAATGTAAACTGGGTGTGGGAGCACGTGTCTCTAACCCCAGCACCTGGGAGTTCTGAGGCAGGATTCCTCAGGAGTTCAAAGTCAGCCTGAACTACATAGTGAAACCATCTCAAACACCAAAAAAAAAAAAAAACAGGAAATGCACATAAAGCCCTTGGAATAAGGTTTGCACATAACAACTTTCAAAACAAATTTCTTTATCGGGTATGAGTCATCCGTAATGAAGAATCCAGACTACCTAACCACAGCCCCCTCCCACTAACACACACCCAAGGGCTGGGACTGGCTAGTGTTTCCCTCCCACGGGTTCCTAAGGCACTGGACAGCTACAGAAGGTACACAGGGCCATCACACCAGATCAAAGACCAGCTCATCCCAGATTCAGACACCAAACCCACCCCACATCCTAAATCACTAAATGAGTTTCAAGTTCCTTTCATTCTCATCTCAAATTTTCTTCACATTCGCTTGGCCAACAGCTTCTCATCCACCCTCACAATCTCCAACACGCAGCACAATTTCATTACCAGAAAGCTTTCCTACACACTCAACCCTGTCTGCCACTTTCCCCCCACACCCCCCGCCCTTAGCAGTCTGAATCAAAACCTGGTTTTCTGGAAACTTCCCCAGTAGCAACTACAATTTATTATCACATACTCCTGGGACTCCGCTAAGAGCAGCAGTGAGCTATGAAACTCAGGCTTGGAGGTACACTGGCCACGTTCATTCATCTGTTCTCAAAACATTTGCACAAATAGTTTAGCTGCAGTTAAGACAAGATTTTCCCACTCCAGCTTTCCTTCTGTCAATTTCCTTGTCAGACGAGTGATCAATTCTGCCTTATCAGAGGCATGTAATACAGTTAACTGCTCCCTGGTAACAAGGTATCACTTCCTCACTTGGCTTCTATGCCACATTTTTTCTTTTTTTTTTTTTTTTGGTACCGGGGATCAAACTCAGGTCCTCGCACTTGCAAGGCAGGCGGCGGAACCACTGAGCTAAATCCCTGGCCCTACGCCACTTTTTTTCTTGGTACCGGAGATCAAACTCGGGACCTTGCGATTGCAAGGCAGGTGCTGGACCCACTGAGCTAAATCCCCAGCCCTTCTATGACACTTTTAAATGTCCCTCCATCACAATATGCTTCGCTGAATCCTCATATTTCCTACCCACGAACCCTGGAGTAACAGGTCCTCTCTTCTATGTATGTTTGTCCTAGTCTGTTGAGCTTAGACCACATTACAAAATATACTTTCAGGGAATCAAAGTTAACTCATCTCAAATTCTGCTAAAATTCAGGTGAAAATTTACACAAATGCGTTAAGACAGCTGCACTTGGACGTCTAACAGGCATCTCAAACTTACAATGTGCAAAACTTCACTAAACCAGTTTTTCAGTTCCATCTCAACAATTTTTCAAGCTGCTCAAGTCAAAAATCCTTGAGAATCCCATTCTTTGCTCCATCTTCCACATCTAATCCTTAAACAAATCCTGTCCATTGCCCTCTTAGTCAAAGCCGAGATCTCGTGCCTGGATCATTGGCCAACAGCCTTGTTCCCCTGCTTGTACTCTTATGCCAACAAAACTTGCAAAATAAAACCAACTTTATGAACTACCTCCCCACCTCTTTCTTTTTGAAATAGGGTCTCATTAGGTTGGACAAGCTGGAATAAAACTTGAAATCTTCCTAAGGGATGCTGGGACTCAAGACTACACATACGGCTTCCAGTAAAACCTTTCTTGTTCACAAAGGCCAGTGAACTTCACATAAACCCAGTTAACTGAGTTGGCTTTTCATTCAGTGCAATATCCTGTGCCTAGAAATTCATTTGTCATCCAAGCGGATGACAACTGGATGCTCACTCACCCTGGGTCTCCTGCTCAAATACACTCAGAAGAGGTAGAGCTCAGGCTCCCAGGTGCTGACAGTGTGGAGTTCAAAGACTGCCGCGTATTTTCACTCCCAGTCTTGTCACCTGCACCACCGTTAAAGCCACACTTCACCCTTTAAAAAGCCCTCAGTAAATGGCTCTCAAGACCATTATTTAGACAAGTGGCAACCCACCCACCTAAATACTCCAAAGACTGCTTCAGTGACAGCCTTCTTTCCCCAAAATTTTTTCAACTGGTTTCCTACTGCCCCAGCTCAGAGCAGTGTATCAATTATTCTTCAGACTATTTCTCAGTCTTGTGTTAAATATTCCTGTATACAGAAAGCATTTTATACAATAAAATGTTTTTCAAAGAACCAGTATTTACCAAAGTTCTCAACTGATGGAAAATAAGGCACATATTTTGAAAATAAATTCATTACAATTGATTAGTAATAGATTTTGAAAAGGAAATTTCTACCAGTCAACTATGCTTTTCATATCAAAACACATAAATGGAAACTTTTAAATTTTTTATTTTATGTACAAAGAATTAGCATGTCTCTTCCACTGAATGGATGTCTTGAATAATGTCCATTGAAGATCACTTAATCCAACTGAAAAGAAAAAGCACACAGGAAAAGATTTTTAAATGCTTTAAACTGGATTCTCACAGAAAGTGGCTCATTATAGAATGATATGAACTACAGAAATTAAGACCCATCCAAGCTCACTACCATGAACTAAGTGTTTTAAACATCTGCTGAACGCCTAAAGCACTTCATGAACCTCAACTTTTAGACTGGTTTTTTAGTACCTGTACCCCACACACACCCAGATCAAACTCAGGACCTTGCATTTTCAAGGCAGGCACAGCGCCACTGAGCTAAATCCCCAACCAGTACCTGTATTTTTACTCCTTCCCTCAAAGCAGTATTCCCTAACACAAAGCAACACAAAATGATCTGTACCAAATGCTCAGGGTGGTTACAAAATAGGTTACTTTAATTATAGTCTTACCTCCTGGAAAACTAAAGTCACAAATCTATTGGTAGGGTTAGCTATCCTGCTCTCATCTGTGACATTTTCACTGCCACTGAGTTTCACTCCACCTTGTAGCATCAGGCATATAGCCACTAAGCATTTGTGCAGCAGGTCCTGGTGGTCCATGCCTGTAACCCAGACCTAGAAAGGCTGACCCAGGAGGATCACTGGGCTAGCCCCTCATATACAGTGAGTTCAAGACCAGACCACAGTCTGAACTACTACATAGTGAGACTGTCTCAGAAAAAAAAAGGCATTTAAGCAATGCTGAATTTAAAGACCATTTTTGTCTCCACTACACCACTGAAACCTCTCATTAACAACTTAAACCCATTAAATACATCAACACAAACACTTTGTTTTTGGCCTCTGTGTACTATATGTGAGACACTGGGAGTTGAACCTAGGACCATCCCCAGTCCTTTTTGTGACAGGGTCTAAGTTGCTAAATTGCCCAGGCTGGACTCAAATTGCAATCTTGCTGCCTCAGCCTCCAGGAGGCATGACATGTATTTATTACCAAGTTAGGTGCTTCTCAATACCTTAATCAAAATAATTATCAATCAGAGAGCTGGTGACTTTATGCAAAAGGCCAAAAAGAAATTTGTTCTCATTTTTAATAAGAAATACAGATTTAAGTGATTTTTAGAAACCAAGAAAGAATTGAGGTACACTGTGTGATCTATGTCATACAACTACTAAATAGCAGGTCCTTTTTCTACCGAATCCCAACAAGTTATTAATAAGGCAGATAAATGACATATAAAATTAAACTGTACTGACGCTTGTGAAGGGAGTCATTTTATCCAACATAATACATGACATTTAAAACTGGCAAAGTAAAGGGGGCTAGAAATACATAGGTCTTCACCCTCCCCATTACACTGACCCAACTTCCAGAACCCTCGACAGTGTCAACCGCCACCTACAGCCCTGCTAACCAAACAGGGGGCGGTCCTGGCCTACGCCGCTCACTAGGACCTATCGTTCCCCGCTCACACCAACATGGAGGACGCGCACCTTGATGAAGCCGATATCCTTCGCGTACTGACGGAAACACTGGCGGCACATGTTCAGGCCGTATTTCCGGATCAGACCGTGTCGGTTGGAGCAAACGCGGCTGTAAAACGAACAAAGGAAAAGACAAGACGTTTTTGGCAGGCAGCACGTCGCACACTACTCCGCACCCAGGCGGCCGGGGCGGATAATGGCGGAGCTCCGATCCGTCTGCTCCCACGCGCCACTCGCGGGCCCGTCTATGTGGGATTTTCAGCCACCTCCCGACTCAGAGCAACCCTTCCCTAAAACCACAATCTGTTCTCACCAAGAGCGAGAGCCCTGACCGAATTTCCTCGGGTGGCTCCAGTAGAGCTGCTGGTGACCCATGTTGCTTCCACAGGTACGAAGAGGCAAAAGGAAGGAATCGCCGCACGCATGCGCTCTTCAAATTTTTCCCGACACATTTTTTTTACCCAGAATGCAGTACTGAAAGGTGACGCGTGCGCACTGTGGCAACGCTGCTTCTACGAGGGTGAGTGGAGTAAAATGCCTGGGACGTCCTAGGCCGGCTGTGCATGACGTCAGCACAGCTCAGGTTCTAGTACGCTCCTGCCTGCTACTCGAGTGCCGGGCGTGGTGGCGCGCGCCTGTAGTCCCAGCTACTCGGGAGGCTGAGGTGGGAGGATCGCTTGAGTCCAGGAGTTCTGGGCTGCAGTGCGCTATGCCGATCGGGTGTCCGCACTAAGTTCGGCATCAATATGGTGACCTCCCGGGAGCGGGGGACCACCAGGTTGCCTAAGGAGGGGTGAACCGGCCCAGGTCGGAAACGGAGCAGGTCAAAACTCCCGTGCTGATCAGTAGTGGGATCGCGCCTGTGAATAGCCACTGTACTCCAGCCTGGGCAATACAGTGAGACCCTGTCTCTTTTGAAAACTTCAAGAAAAGTAAAATTCCCTATCTCTAATAAACAGATCATATTCGGTCTTCACCGACTGTCAATTGAACCTTTTACATTTTTTTCCAAACAATTCTACGCTTGGGAAACAGATTTTTAGTACAACTCAGCACTGACACCTACTGGAATAAATTTAAAAAACAACTAAAGTCAGCTGTAATAATTAGGAGTCAACGACAGGAGCTTCTTCCTAGTTTTTTTCTTTTGATTTCCTTCCATTTTATTGGACAGAAGCCAAACCCTGAGAACTGTGGAGCTTCAAGTGTAAGTACTACAGCACAGAGGCTGGAGAACCTGGAGTTCTGATGTCCAAGGGAAGGAAAAGAGGATCCCAGCTCCAAAGACAAGAAAACCCTTTTCTCTTTTTTTTTTTTCCTTCTGTCCAGGCCCCTAGTTGATTGGATGGTTCCTGCCTGCCTTGAGGGTGGATCTTCCCCCACTTAGTCTACTCAATCTCATGCCAGCTCTTGAAGACAGACTCAGAAATAATGACTTGCTTATTTTTTATTTATGTATTTTGCAAAGTTTATTAACATTTTTCTAGTAGCAAAAATACAAGAGCTGATCAAAAATAGTGTGCTTGTTGTTTTTTGGGGTTTTTTTGATACCGGGGATCGAACTCGGGATCTTGGACTTTCAAGGCAGGCAGCTGCACCTCTGAGCTAAATCCCCAGCCCTTGTTTTTTTTTTTTTTTATTTAAATTCTTTTATTGGTACATTTTATTTGTTTTTGGTTTTTTGGGTACTGGGGATCAAACTTGGGACCTTCTGCTTGTGAGGCAGGTTGGCAGAACCACTGAGCTAAATCCCCAGCCCTTACTGGTACATTTTAGGTATACAACACGTTTACATTTCTTATTGGGAACTTGTACCTTTACATGATCCTTGTTTTTTGTTTTTATTCATACATGTTTACAGTACATAATAATTATGCCATGATAGGGAGTTGCTACATGAACATAACATAGCTTAATTCTTTTTACTTCACCTGCCTCTCCCCTCCCTAGAAATAATGATTAAAAGCCAGGCATGATTACACATACTTGTAATTGCAGCACTCTGGGAGACTGAGTCAGGAGGGTCACAAGTCCAAGTCCAGGTTGGGCAACGAAGTGACTTAGCAAGACCCTGTCTCAAAAAAGAAAAGAATTTTTTTGACACCTTTTTGAGACAGGGTCTTGCTATCTAGTTCTGGCTAGTCTTGAACTCACAGGGATCATCCTGCCTTGGCCTTCCAAGTGCTGAGATTATAAGCATGCTCCACCAGACCTACCTAAAAAAGTTTTTTTTAGATTTCTTTTTAAAGGGCTGAGAATGTAGCTCAGTGGGAAGGACTTGGTTCAATCTCCAGTACCGAAAAAAAAAAGTATCAGATTGTCGTATTACTATTAATGTGTATTCCTTTGTGTGCATGTCAAAATTCTTAGAAAGATTGTCTTCCTGTGATACTTTAACACTTTCAGTTTTTCTTTTAAATCTTGAACTCATCTGAAATTTATTTCAGTGTTCCCCCAACACTGAGGGAGAAAGTCAAATCTGCTCTTCCATGGCCAGATGATTATACAAGTAATATGAACTCAATGTGAGCTTGCGCTAATCTAATACAATGCTGGCTTTTACAATATTTGCTCAGTGAACAGCCTATATTTATATAAGTAGCATATTTATATATGCTAAATTATACATCCTACAAATAAACATTGAGTACTCCTGCCTATATCACTAGTGACTCAGAACCCGGGAAGCTTGTAGTCTAAAGGTGAAGATGAACATTGTATAAGTAACTGCGTAACAATACTGTGGCTAAGATGACCTAAATTTCCTCTTGCTGTGAATGCCCAAATGTCCTGGATGAAGTGCGACATGTTTTACAATGCAGAGTTGATTTCTCGAGGAGAAAGGGGTAGCCCAAGGCCCAGGTTAAAGCAGGAACTGAAGAACCGCAGAGGCTCCCTAAGGAGATTCGTCCAGCTAAGAAATAGGAACTGAATTCCAAAGGGAGCAAGAGACAAGCCTTTGGACAACTGCATTTAATTACATCAACAAGCATAGAAATGCCTGCAGCTTTTGGGGAAGAATTCAATGCAGCATCCTAGACTTGAATTGCAGCCCTACTTGTTCTAATCTGTAAGTTCATGGGCAAATCTCTTCATTCTAACCACACCACTTTTCTTGTGTACGATGACAGAGGGGAATTACAATTTTTGTAAACTGTATTTCAGCTCCAAAAGCTCAAGAAGCTGAGCATGATGGTGCAGGCCTGTCATCCCAGCTCTCAGGAAGCTGAGGCAGGAGGATCACCATGAGTTTGAGGTCAGCCTGGGTTACATAGTGAATTCAAGGCCAGCCTGTACTACATAGTGAGACCCTGTCTCAACCTCCCCCCGCAAAAAAGTTTAGAGTTCAATGACAGGAGATACTTGTAAAATTTTAATTTGACTACAGTGTGGATGGCAAATCACTATGTCAGCCTCCTGATGTGCCTTCCTCCAGGCTTGATCTAGCTCCAAAGTAATCACTCTATTCACCACAGAACCTTTCTTGAACAGATCTGAATTCTATGATGGCACTTGCCTATAATCCCAGTACTCTGGGAAACTAAGGCAGGAGGATCACAAAATAAATATATTAATAAAAACATCTAAAACTTTCACGCTGAAGTATAAAGGCTTTAGTTTAGCAAACAAGTATTTTTTTTTTTAAAGTGCCAGTGACAGAACTCAGGACTTTTCGCTTGCAAGGCAGGCACAGTGTCACTGAGCTAAATCCCTGGCCCTGTTTTGTTTTGTTTTACAGTAGTGGGGATTGAATGCAGGGGTTTCACACAATTTTAAAAATAATTTATTTTTTGTTTTGTTTTTGAGAAAAGTTCTCCTAAATCTCTAAATTGCCCAGGCTAGGGTTTGTTGGTTTGTTTTGGTTTGGTTTTTTTGAGATAGGATCTCAGTATGTAGTTCAGGCTGGCCTTGAACTCACTATGTAGCCAGGCTGGCCTCAAACTCATGGTGATCCTCTTGTCTCAGCCACCCAAATGCTGGGATTACAGGGATGGCCATCACACCCAGCAGGCTCAAACTTTTGATCTTCTGGCCTCAGCTTCTCAGAGTACAGGAATTATAGGCATGTACCACCTTGCCTGGCTTTTATTACATTTTAGATGACATTTACCATTGCAAAAATACCTCCAAGAAACATTTCCAATGTTCTAGGTCAAACATATCTACTCTTACCCATCAATTGTTCTTGTAGAATCTCACGTTAATCTTGTAGAATCTCACAATGTTCTTACTACTTCTCACTTAAGTGAGCTATAAATCAGAATAAATTTCACAATAGACAAAGAGAGATCAATTAATCAGAGAGATTCAATTAATTGTCTGTTGAATTCTTAGTAATGCCAGAAACCCAGGGAAATAAGTGAAATGTAATTTTAAGTGCAACTGGAGTTTACAAAAAAGGGCAAGATGCTAAAGAAGGCTTAGTGGAAACTGAACTGTGATTTGAAAAATTAATAGAATTAGAATGAACAAAGGGCTGGGTATTTAGCTCAGTGCCACTGTGCCTGCCTTGCATGCTCAAGATCCTGCGTTCAATCCCTGGTATGGGGGAAAAAAGAATTAGAATGAACAAAGCAGAAAGGAGGAAATGAGTGTGGTATGACAGCCTGGAAGAAGAACTAATTTTACAGAAGAAAAATAAATTTACATGTTATCTGATTCTTTTTGCAAAAAACCTATAGCCCAATTTTTAATTCCTGTGAATTTCCGTTTCACAGTCTTTAGCAGAAAGATAGAAAAGATCAAACAGCAGATTTTATTTGTATGATGGTAAAGAGAAAAGTGTAGATAGATGTTCAAAGAATCCTTTGTTTCATAGCCCACTAAAAACAGAATCTGTGGGTACAAGAATATCAGAGCCAAGTATTTCAGCCATTAAAACCGAGTGGGCCAAGAAAAGAACAGGGAAAGGAGGATCAGCTCTCAAAAGCTGATTCGTATTTATTGTACATTATTCTCTTATTTCATGTTTTAAATAGGGCAATTTTGTTTTGTTTTTCTGATTTTTGTTTTTTGAGCCAGGGTCTCACTAAATCACTAAGCTACCCAGACCTGACTCAAACTTTCAGTCTTCCTGCATCAACCTCCCAAAGTGGTGGGATTACAGGTGTGCATCACCACAGTCCATTTAATAAGGTAATCTTATTTAAAATATTTTTGGAACTAGGAATACTGTTCAATCCCCAGCACCATTAAAAAAGGTGGAGATGGGCACCACACAGCTCTTTTTGAAAGTATTTTGGAAGTACATATCATTGTTCAAACCACCATCAGGGGATTTAGCTCAGTGGTCCCGCCGCCTGCCTTGAAAGCACAAGGTCCTGAGTTTGATCCCCAGTACCAAAAAAAAAAAAAAAAAAGAAAAGAAAATCACCATCAAACTATTATGTAATTCTCAGGTGCTTACATTATTTAACATTTATTTACTGGGTTCATGCTTTAACAATCGAAGTTAACACCAAACAAAGCACTGAAGCTTTTTGTCTTTAGTTCTTACATATTTCTACTCTTAGTTGCAGCCAGGCATGGTGGTGCAGGTCTGTAATCCCAGAACTCTACAGAGGCTGAGACAGGAGGATAGCCGGGACTTTGAGGCCAGCTTGGGCCACACTAAGTGCAATGCTAGCCTGAACTACATAGCAAGGTCATTTCATTTAAAAAAATTTTTTAAAGGAAAAGAAAGTATTCCTAGCTCCCAACTGTGCCTAGAGACTGAGCATATTTAATGTAGTTGTAATACTTTGAGCTGTTTGGTTTTCTTCTATATCATCCAAAGAACAACATACATAAAGTCTCTACATAAAAGCCCAATAGTCCTTGAAAATTCTGGGTTGTAGTTTCATTTTCCCTATAGCCTTGCAATGAACTGTTGCTAAACGCTGAGTTCTGTTTCAATGCTCTACTACCTACGAATATAAAATGAGCGAGTGGTAATTTATTACCCTCATCACTACTTTTCCTGAATCAAGCAGTGTCTTCAGGATGTGGATTCAACAGTAACATCTTAGGTTCAATACACTGGTTAACAAGGATAAATCATAATTTTGTCGCATTTGAATTGAAAATTGGTACTTTTGGAGCCGGGAGTGGTGGTGCATGCCTGTAATCCCTCCAGTCTGGGAGGCTGAGGTAGGAAGATCATAGTGTAGCTCGGTTAAAAGGCCCCGAGTTCAATCCTAATTACAAGAAAAGGAAGGAGTGGGGCCGAGGAAGTAGAGCAGAGAGAGGGAAGGAGGAAGAGAGTGCAGGACAGAGAATATGTCTTAATGAAACTTCACCATTATGAAAATACAACTCAGACAAAATGTTTAAACACAAAGACGGCGAGGGAGGCAAGATTAGGAAACCGAGAGCGAGCGCCTCTTTTAAATTTGCACCCCAGGCCTCGCCCACGCAGAGGGTTCATAAATGCAATACGGAGTCGGAAGAGCACTTGGGGCCTGGACCGCCTTCCAAGCCTCTGCTAAATCAAGTCGCCGCTGCAAAGTACCGTTCACTGGACAGGAATTTTAAGCGGCGATACAATTCGAAGATGTCTGTCTTCGAAAGCTCCCCTCAGGAAATGCCGTGCCCCCTCGCTGGCTTTCGGGACAGCTCGTAAGGCCCCTAGGCGCCCTTCCTAACAGACTCCAGGGGACACCAGCCTCTCTCGGGAAGCTCTGCAGCCAACGGCCACACCCAGAGGCGCGCGACACCATAACAATAACAACCGCCTCCCGCGGCACGCGAGCGGCGACTGGGCGACTGACGAGGCGCCCTCGCCGAACGCGGGTTTAGAAAGGAGCGGGCCGGGCCCTCAGGCTGGCGGCGCTCGTGCCCCGCTGGCCCGCGACCGCAGTGGGGTCCCGGGCAGCACTGGGAGGGCACGGGTCTCCGCAGGACCCGGCACGCCCGCGACGACCGCACGGGGAGCGCAGGCAGATCCGCGGGCAGCCCCGCGCGCTGAGGACCCCGCGGCGGCGCGGGTTGGCGGGAAGGGGGAAATTTCAAAGCCTGGTGGTTCGGCTGGCGGTGCGTGGGAGAGATGAAGCTGCACTGCGAGGTGGAGGTGGTCAGCCGGCACTTGCCAACTTTGGGGCTGAGGAACCGGGGCAAGGGTGCCCGCGCCGTGGTGAGCTTGTGTCAGCCGCGGCCCCCAGCGAGGGGCGAGCAGGCCGGCCCGCACTCCGCCTGCCTCCTCGTCTCTACCATGAAGGACAAGCGCGGGACCCGCTACGAGGTACAGGGCAGGGCTCTTCCAGCGGGGAAGGGGACTCGCCTGGCCGGAATCCGCCCCTGAGCCCCACTCCACCCCGGCCCTAGGGTTCAGCGCGACTTCCTTCTGTTCTCAAGGAAGAAGGCCTTAAAGTTCACTGGGTTCTTTTTCTCGCCCATCTCTGCGACTCTGAATTTACAGCTTTGCTATGTAGTGTTACATCACAGCCACGCCCTTTGATTTTTCGGAAGTATTAGCCTGCGTGAAACAACTGAAAGTGGGGCACCACCTGTCTACTTGGGAACAGTATCGAGCCGTGGAAAACTTTCTAGAGACCATTAGAAGTTTAAATAAAGTTTTTAAAATATAAGATTCATCAGATACCTTTGTCCTTTATCAGACAGTTTGTAAACGTGCAGTATCTTTGTGTCTTGTATAAACAAAGCCGAGGGAACAATTCCTTGCACCTGACACTTGACTGAATTTTATACAATTCCCAGGATTATTTCCCTTACATGTTATATTCCCCAGTGAATATTTAGTTGAGAAAAGTGTTACTGTCTCGTTCAGAACCACCTAATGTTTACTGTAAGTAGTTGAAAGTCTAATTTTCTCTGATCATGTAAACTGTGTGTGTATATATATGTATATGTATATATATGTGTGTATATATATATACGTGTATATATATACGTGTATATATATATATATAGAAAGGGTCCCCAGCACCCTGGCTAGTCTCTTAAGGGCTCTCTTCTACCACTGTCCCACCCCATCCCATCCTCCTCTCCTTCAGAGTTCCACCTTGACACTGCAGTTAGAGGGAATGTGAGTTTTATTTTTGTTTGGATATTGGGGACCCAGAGCCCCAAGCACGTTAAACAAGTGCTGTACAACTGAGCTATATCCTCACCTAGTTTTGATTTTTTTTTTTGACAGGGTTTTGGTATATATCCCAGGCTGCCCTCAAAATTGAATTCCTCTTGCTTTAGCCTCCCCAGTGCTGGGAGTACAGGTGTTGGGGATTAAATTCCTTCAGTGGATTTTATTGTTCTTAGGATAAAATCTAAATGGTTGTGTTTTGTTTTGTTTTGAGACAGGGTTTTGCTATGTAGTTCAAGCAGGTCTTGAACTCACTATGTAGCCCAGGCTGGCCTCAAATTAATTACTTGTTTAATAACTTTCTCTCATCAGATTGTCAACTCTGTAAGCATAGGTACCAGGCCAGTCTTATTCACCACTATGTCCCAAAGCCCCTGTCATGGTTCCTGGTATATAGTGGCTTCTCAATAGTTGTTTAAGTCTAAAGCAGAAGCAGTATCTGTCATGAAAAAGTTTGTGTCTGTCACTGTTGTAGTTCTGGGGATGCAGTGGTAAGCGAGACGAGAGTTCTGTCAGGGAACGGGAGGTATGTCCATCCCAAACTAATGAACTGAGGCTATCAAAGCAAATTAGTACTGGCAGTTCTTAAGATAGCTACATAGTTGGCATAGGAAAGGAGAGACATTATCCAGAAACATACAGGAATCTGCTCTCAGAAAAGGAGTCTGGACAGATAGGGCAATAATCTACTGCAAGCTAAATAGAGGATGTAACTACTCAACTGTCAAAAAAATCAACCACACAAAAACTATAAAACACCCAGACTTCAGGATTAAAAGCCAAACCAAAATCTGACTGTAATAAGTATTGAATAACAATATTACTTTTGTCCTTTTTTTTCCTGTTGGTTTTAAGCAGCTAAAGGAGAACATTGAGCAATTCTTCACTAAATTTGTGGATGAAGGGAAGGCCACTGTCCGGTTAAAGGAACCTCCTGTGGATATCTGTCTAAGTAAGGTATGATATTGAAAATAGCAACCGCTGGGTGTGGTGGTGCATGCCTGTAATCTCAGCACTCAGGAGACTGAAGCAGGAGGATTGCCATGAGTTCAAGCCCAGCCTGAACTACATAGTAAAACTATGAATGAATGAATGAACAAATAAATACATAAATCAGTCAATCAGTCAGTTGCTTGGCTGTGTTTTCTTTAAAGAAGAAAGCTCTTGGGCCGGGGATTTAGCTCAGTGGTTTCACCACCTGCTGCACAAGCACAAGGACCTGAGTTAGATCCCCGGCACCAAAAAAAAAAGAAGACAGCTGTTCAGATACCCTGGTATCCCACATAGCTGACCAGGGACAGATTTGTGGGTGTGTTGAAAAGGCAGTGATACAGAAGTGGCTTCCCATATATCTTATGCCTCCTAAGAGAGCAGAGGTTGCTTTAGTTACGCTCCCAGATGGGGAGGAAAACTGGGTTTTTTTCTGTGCCCATGGTGGAACTTGAGGATGTTCTTACCCTGGCACTCTGTGGCACATCCCCCGTCCTTTTTTAAAATGTATTCTGAGACAAGGTCTTGCTTAGTTTCCCAGATTGGGCTCAAACTCTCGATCCTCCTGCCTCAGCCTCCCAGAGTGCTGAGATTGCAAGCATGAGCCACCACACCTGAATTCATTTCCTTCTTGATCTTCATCTTAACCACTTCATCTAAAAACAAGCTCAGGTCTTACCATTTTAAAAAATAAAGCCACAGGGGCCAGGGATTTAGCTCAGTGGTTTCGCTGCCTGCTTCTCAAGCACAAGAACCCGAGTTCGATCCCCAGTACCTAAAATAAAATAAAGCCATGGCTGGGGATTTGGCTCAGTGGTTCTGTCACCTGCCTTGAAACCACAAGGTCCCGAGTTCCATCCCCAGTACCAAATAAAAATAAAACCATATGGGGTCAGGGATTTACCTCAGTGGGTCCACTTCCTACCTCGAAAGTGCAAGGTCCCAAGTTCCATCACTGGTACTAAATAAATAAATAAAAATAAAGCCATATGTAGTGAGGCACACTTGTAATTCTGGTTATTCAGGAGCTGAAACAGTGGTGTTACAAATTTGAGGCCAGATTGTCTCAATATAAAAAGGTGGACTGGGGTGTAGCTCAGTAATAGAGCGCTTACCTAGCATAGGTGAAGTCTGAGGACCCTAATACTGAAATAAATGAATAAATGGCAAAAGTGTAATAGTAAAATGAAATAAACAAATTTTCTGGAAAGACAAAGCTGAGTCTGTTGCCTCTAATTTCATACTTTGTCTTTGGACCTTTATTTTTATTGGTTTATTTGAAGTGCTCCCTGGAAGATCAGTAATCTCGTATATCACACTTGTAGTCCAACACTGTGGGAGACTAACACAGGAAAATTCAAGTCCACCCTGAGCAATATAGCAACTTAGCAAGACTCTGTCTAAAAAATAAAAAGGGCTTGGGAGGCTGAGGCAGGAGGATCACTGAGATTGAGGCCAGCCTGGGCTACATAGTTCAGGGCTAACCTGAACTACAAAGCAAGACCCTGTCTCAGAAAGGGGGTGGGGGTGTGTGTGCTGGGGATGTAGCTCATTTGAAGGCTCTGGATTTAATCCCCAGTAATACCCTCCCCCCTCCAAAAAAAATGAGTGATCCCATTATTTGCCAATCATAGTGCTATTATTTCTCACGGTTTTTGTACTCTATAGAACTTAACACTAGTGATCACCCTTTCCTTAATAAAACTCATCCCTGGGCTGGGGATTTAGCTCAGTGGTTCCACCGCTTGTCTCGAAAGCGCAAGGTACTGAGTTCAATCCCCAGTACCAAAAAACTCATTCCTTTATTGGTGTCTGTGGTAGGGCACTATCCTGGTTTACCTTCAGTTTTCTTAGCAAGTATTTGTCTTCTATCTCCAGAATCATTTTTTCTATCCCTGAAATAAAGGCTTTATTTCAGTCCTCTGCCTGTTTACCTGCCTTTCATTTCCATAGCCCCACTGTTGTGGGTGACTTCCCCATCTATAAGCCACTGTCCCCTATTGTAACTGCTTGCCCCAGGCCTTCAGACTTTCCACTCCTGGTCATTGGGTTCACTACTGCCAAAATATTTTGCTTTTGTCATATAAATCTCATGCTAAAATTCTTCAGTAATATCCCACAGCCAGACCTTAACGACCAAACTCATTCACAATCTGTCCTAATACTGTACTGTATTTCCTGTCTTGTACTCCTGTGCACAGCTCCCACATTCCAGCAAAACAAAATTACATACTTAGTTTCCCAACTTCCTGAAAGTTTACTCACCCTTCACTTTTAAACTTTGGGAAACTTATAAAGTATCCTTGAAATAGTAGCTGTTTCTACTGACGATTTAATTCAAATGCCTCTTGATCAGTGATTTCTCTTTCTCACCATCTAGAAGCAGTCTTGCCCTTTGTGTTTCCTCGCACTTCATTGCTTTTGAGAAGGGTCATTGCTCTGCATACCTCCTGGGGTTTATGAATGTTACCCTGGGCCTTTTGTAGTACTCAGAAAACCTGATGGGCCAGGGATTTAGCTCAGTGGGACCTCGACTGCCTCGAAAATGCAAGGTCCTGAGTTTGATCTACAGTACCAAAGGAAAAAAAAAAACAAAAAACCTGGCCTCGTGTGTCAGAGGCACTGAAGATTTGGGGCAGTTGATCTTAAAACCAGATCTCAGGAAGAATCTTTACTGCCTCTTTGCCTTATTTTTATTTTCTTAGGATCCCCTCTTTGAACAGTTTTATTTAAAATATGGATCCTCAGGCCAGGGATTTAGCTCAGTGGTTCCACCACCTGCCTAGCAAGCAGAAGAACCCAAGTTCAATCCCTGTACCAAAAAAAACCCCAGTAAAATATGGATCCTCAACATAACATACTTTTCTTTGAAAACTTTTAAAGTTGAAATTTAGATCAAATAAAATACTAAAAGTATGTTTTACAGCCAATTTCAGTCAATAGTTATGTCACTTTCTGTATACTGCAGAACTATAGTATTTGTGGTTTTTTTTTCCTTAGAGGACTATATATAGTATTTGTTAAGGAAGAACTAGCCTGAATGCATTATCTAAAAGGGTCTTAACAATTATATGAATTTTTATTTTCTCAGGCTAATTCTGGCAGTTTGAAAGGTTTCCTTTCAGCCATGAGACTGGCTCACAGAGGCTGTGACATCAACACATCACTTTCAACACTCACACCAGTGAAGACTTCAGAATTTGAAAAATTTAAAACTAAAATGGTTATCACATGCAAAAAAGAATATCCCCTAGGCAAGAACTTTCCATATTCCCTGGAACATCTTCAGACTTCTTATTGTGGGCTCATCCGAGTTGACATGCGAATGCTTTGTTTAAAAAACCTTGTGAAGTTAGACTTGAGTCATAACCACATAAAAAAGCTTCCTGCTACAATTGGAGATCTCATTCAGCTTCAAGAACTTGACCTGAGTGACAATCACTTGGAGTCCTTCAGTGTGGCCTTTTGTCAATCTACACTCCAAAAGTCACTTCGAAGGCTGGATCTCAGCAAGAACAAAATCAAAGCACTCCCTGTGCAGTTTTGCCAGCTCCAAGAACTTACCGATTTAAAGATAGATGATAATGACTTGATCCAACTTCCTTTCAAGATAGGACAGCTAAAAAACCTTCGTTTCTTGTCAGCAGCTCGAAATAAGCTTCCAGTTTTGCCTAGTGAATTTAAAAATTTATCTCTTGAGTACTTAGATCTTTTTGGAAATACTTTTGAACAACCAAAAGCCCTTCCGGTTATAAAGCTACAAGTGCCTTTAAGTTTATTGGAATTATCTGCACGAACTATACTATTTAATAGGTAAGGCTATCATAGTCATAAAATGTGGTCCTTTGGTAGCATTCTAGTATTCTCATCAAAGTCAGTAATAGTCACAGTCAGAGAAAACTCCCAGTGCTGTGTCCAACCTGACTCCTTCCTCTGCTGGCTGCCTTTGTTGTTTTTTTTCATTTTTTGAGACAGTCTCATTGTGTAGTTCAGGCTTACCTTGAACTCACTGTGTAGCCCAAACTGGCCTCAAATTCAGAGATCTTCCAGCCTCAGCCTTCTGAGTGCTGGGATTACAGGCCCAGCATGTAACCACCATGCCTGGCTTAATTTTTATTTTGTTTTATTTAGGATTTTGATCAGCAGTAGTACATGTTTGCAGTGCATAATGATTACATTCATCATGGGGAGTTTACATGTACAAAATACATCAGAATTCTTTTTCATGTATGCCCTCTGCGCCCATGGCCTTTTTGATGTTCCTAACCTCTGCCTGGAATGATTTTCTTGCAGGAAATCTCGTTGCTCACTTCAGTTTTCTACCCAGATGTCATTCCAGAAAGGTCTTACTCTAGGGCTTGATTGTTTTGGTTTTGGTTTTTTGTTTGTGTGAGTTACTTTGTTTTGCTTCTTTGGTTATAATACTTATTGCCTGGCCTTATTTTTTTTAACTTCATTTGTTTGCTATCACTTTTTTTTTTTTTGGTTCTGGAAATCAAACTCGGGTCCTTGTACTTGCAAGGCAGGCCGCAGAACCACTGAGCTAAATCCCTGGCCAGTTTGCTGTCAGTTTTGACCACAAGAACGTAAGATCTGCAATGGCTGAACTTTGTTTTGTTCTCCACTATTTCCCTAGGGTAGTGTTGGCAAACCCATGGCACGTGTGCTCCAGCAGGCTGTTTGTTACCATTGGAAGCGCTAATAAAAGGTTCACCATCACTGTCCCAGGGTCCCCACAGTGCCCTAGTGTGTAGTAAACACTTAATAAATTGTTGAATGGGCTGGGGATTTAGCTCAGTGGTTCCACCGCCTGCCTCACAAGTGCAAGGTGGTGAGTTCAATCCCTGGTACCCAAAAAAAAGTAAATAAATAAATAGTTGAATGAATAGCATTGTCCCTCAAGGAATAATCGCCTGAGCAGCAGCCACATCACTCAGAGCTTGTTAGAGATAGAGGTTTGGGACTGTATCCCAGTCCCAAGGACCCTGACCTGTACCCCAGACCTCCTTAATCAGAAACTGAGAGCTCGGGGCACAGCTAGCTGACACACCCTGAAGTTTGAGAACTCCAGTTTGGTGTCATAGTAGAGTGCAGTGTTTGGAGTTAGTTGCAATGTTTGCCCCTTCATATGACTTTAGCAAATTCTTCGTTTTTCTTGGAATTTTCTTGTTTTTGAGATGGTTCTTGTTATATAGTTTAGGTTGGATTTGAACTCAGTACCCTCTTTGATTAAATTTTCTTATCTGTGACATAGAAATAATACCTGCTTTATAGAGTTGTGAAGATAAATGAGGTAATATAAAGCCAAAGCATTTGTCATGTAGGATGAGTGAATAGCTGTTGGTTCTCTTCCTCTTACCTTTGAACACTAACTGCAGTTTGTGTCTTGAGAAACTGTAGTTACTCATTTTGTTCATGCTTTCACATAGGATTGAAAGCTCAGATGAAAAACAGTTATTGAGTACTATAAACTGGTAGGGAGATCATATTTCAAATAGGATATACTGCTGGGTGTAGTGGTGTAGGCCTGTAATCCCAGCACTCTGAGGCAGGAGGATCGCTGCAAGTTTAAGACCAGCTTAGGCTACATAGTGAGTTCAAGGCCAGCCTTGAGCTACATAGTGACACCCTGTCTCAGAAAACCAGTCAATCAATCAGTCAATCAAAAGATTTTTGGTCTGCAAACTTGGAGGCAGTAAGTATGAGCTAGGGCTGAAGGACTTACATCTCCAGCAAGTTCCCAGGTGATACTGCTGGTCAGGGGAGCACACTGTCAGAACCACTGGTTTAAGGCACTGGCCCCTAAGTAAGAGGGAATTGCCCACTAACTGACCATAAATACAAATGCCTAGAACAGTGCCAGGCTCGTAAAAGTTCTCAATATTTGTTTTTTGGGGGTTTTTTTTGGTACCAGGGATTGAACTTGGGTCCTTGTGCTTGCAGGGTAGGCAGCAGAACCATTGAGCTAAATCCCCGGTCCTGGTTCTCAATATTTATTGGTTGTATAAATTTGCTTACCTGGCAAAGAGATCAATCAATGTTACATTAGCTGTAGAGTGCTTTTAGATAATGTAGATGAGAAATACAGATCATGAAAGTATTCCTGCTGAAAAGTACTTTATGGATTGGTATAGACCAGTGGCAGTGAACCTAAGGCACACATGTCGCAGTGGGCTGTTTGTATCATTGAGAGCTCTAAAAAGTTCACCATCACTGGTATAAACCCTTTAAGATGATATCATATATCATAGGCTTTTGGGGAGGGTGCTGAGGATTGAACCCAGGGCCTTTGCATTGAGTAATACCCTCAGTGCCTCCCCCCTTTTTATCTTGAAATAACGTCTAATTTGCTCAGGCTTGGTTTAAACTTGTGATCCTGTTGCCTCAGCCTTCCAGCATTGTCCCATTCTTACCATTTGGGAAAATAATATACTGAGTCCCCTTAATTAAATCGTTTTTTTCCCCTCATAATTCAGCGTCCTAGTAATTCTTGTACTTAAAAGCATGAAGTTCTGTTTCATCTAGTAACATACTTTTTTTTTCCCAATAGGATTCCATATGCCTTTCATATCATTCCTTTCCATCTTTGCCAAGATTTGGATACTGCAAAAACCTGTGTTTGTGGAAGATTTTGTCTAAAGAGTTTCATTCAAGGAACTGCTACCATGAATCTGCACTCTGTTGCCCACACTGTGGTCTTAGTAGACAATATGGGTGGTACTGAAGCACCTATTACCTCTTACTTCTGTTCCTTAGTCTGTTACATAAATTCCTCAGATATGTTCAAATAATGTCATGCCATAGAGAAATTTCATTCGGTTCCAGCTCAGTCAGGGATTCATTATGAGTTAACAGTGTCAGTTTGCAGACAGGGAACCTTCCTACTAGTATGCTTGCTTGTGGACAGGAATGGGTTTGGGCTAAGTCATTTGACTTGAAGACTTTGATTTCATTAAAGCCAAATATTATTGTGGGGTTAACTTATATTGCAATGTGGGTTGTATGATTATCTTTTTTTTTTTTTAATAACTTTTTTATTTTTTGTTTTTTCCACCAGGGATCGAACTCAGGGCCTTGCACTTGCAAGACAGGCGCAGCACCACTGAGCTGAGTCTGCGACATAGGGTTATCTTTTATTTTACTCATTTTTGTTGTTCTGGGAGTTGAACCCAAGACCTTCATGGTGAACTACATCCCTAGCCTTTTTTTTTTAACTTTTTATTTTGATACAGAGCTTTGCTAAGGTAGTAAACAATCCTCCTGCCTCAGCTTCCCAGAATGCTAGGACAACAGGGTTGCAGCACAGCAGCCAGCTATTTTTTTCCCTCAGTACTGGGGATCAAACCCTGAGCCTTAAAGTTTCTGTATGCCAAAAAATAAACTTTGGAGTATTAGTGTTCTAAATGACAGTGAAAACTTTAGTGTTAAACTATATACAGGTTGGGCATCCTTAATTGAAAACCTGAAACCTCATGAGTGCTGATGGGATGCCCCAAATGAAAGATTCCACACTGGCTCAGGACAGGTCACAGTCAAACTGCAGGGCTGCAGAAAATACAGTATTGCATGAAATTACCTTCAGGCTCTGTGTACACAGTAGATAGAAAACACGAAAGAATTTTGTTCCATCCCCATGATAGCACATGTTGTATGTACAGATAATTGAAATTTGGAAAACAGTCCTGAAATGTGAAACACTTCTGGTCCCATGCGTTTTGGATGAGGAGCACTTGATACAAACTTGTTAATCACACCACTTTGTGTTCTTCACATATGAAATGGTATTCACTAAACATTAAGAATTGCTTTGGGACAACCAACTTCATCTTTTATAAGTTTTGCAGTATTTTTCACATACTCTTTGTCTTGATTTTTAATTTTTTGCTTTTGGAGTTGAGGAGAAACTTGCTGCTTCTATTGTCTTCATTCTGTTTTTGCCATACGAGGATTGAAGCAGGGAGATCTCAGCTACATCCTCGGTCCCTTTTTTTCTTCTCTTCGCTTTTCTCTTTTTCTCTTTTTTTTAAGACAATTTCACTAAGTTGCTGAGGCTGGCCTGGAACCTAGCAATCCACCTATCTTAGCTTCCAAGTAACTTCAAGGTGTGCATCACCATTCCTGGGCTGCCACCACTTTTCTAAATTAAAAAATTACACAGCCATTTGAGGTGGTGTATGCCTGTAATCCCAGTTACTTAGGAGGCTGAGGCAGGAGGATCACAGGCTTCAGGCCAGCCTAGGCATTTTATTGAGACCCTGTCTTGAAAAAAACAGCTACCACAATAACAAAATGAACTGAAAAAGAATGGACTTGAAAGAATTCTGGAAAACAGCACTAACTGTTCCATTCTGTTCACTCCCATTACCCTACTTCATATCACTCCATTAGACCATTGAAATAGCCTCGTAACTGGTTTTGGGGGATAAAGAAGAGGAAACTAGGGCTGGGTATTTAGCTCAGTCGTTTTGCTGCCTGCTGCGCAAGCGCAAGGACCCAAGTTCAATCCCCAGTACCAAAAAAGAAAAAAGAAACTATAAAAGTTCCCAGAGAAAACTGTCTGGTGTTAACATCTTATTGCTTGGACTTTTGGTCATTTTTTTTTTCCTTTCTGAAAATTCAATTATTCCTGAATAAATACTGTTTTAAATGTTAGAACGCTTTCATTAAAACTTTATTAATATATGATCTTTGAAACATAATTTCTTCTCAAAGCTGATTCTCTGAAAAACTAGGCATTGGTCCAGAGGTTGAATTTGCTTTGTATTGCTAAGAGCTGGGTTTGGTAGTGCACACCTGAGATCCCAGCACTCGAGGGTGAGGCAGTGGGATGACTGTGAGTTCAAGGCCAGCCTGGCATACTGAACTACATAGTGAGACTGAGACCCTGTGTCAAAAAAAATTTTTTTTAATTTTGTATTGCTAGTAATAAGTTAAATTCTTTTTTTTTTTGGTACCGTGGATCGAACTCAGGTCCTTGTACTTGTGCAGCAGGCGGCAAAACCACTGAGCTAAATCCCCGGCCCAATAAGTTAAATTCTTTCAGCAAAAATTACCTTATCTTATAAATGATGTAATATTTTATAGTATGGTGCCTTTAAGTTAAAAAAAAAACTACCACTTATTTAGTCCCTGTTTTGTTCCAGGTGTTTTACAGTCAGTATTTTACTTAATCCCCACAGATTACCAGGAAGGAAGTTCCGGAATCTAGATCAGGGATTTTAAGTCCAGGCTCTACTGCCTTCTAAAATTACTTCAGGGCGGGGCATTTAGCTCAGTGGCACCACCCCTGCCTCTCAAGCACAAGGACCTGAGTTCGATCCCCTGTACCAAAAAAAAAAAAAAAAAGAGGAAAAATACTTAAAGTGAATTCAGACTTGGTCTTTAAAGCCAACAGATCTTAGAATTTTCTTGCCCTCCCCTTCCTTTCCTCTCCCTTCTTTCTTCCCTCCCTCCATGTTGCCAGGCTGGCTCCAGATTCCTGGGCTATCCTATCTTACTTTCCCACTAGCTGAGACTATAGGCACACACCACTGTGCCTGGCTTCTTAGGATCTTTTTTTTTTTTTTTGTACCAGGGATCAAACTCGGGACCTTCTGCTTTCGAGGCAGCACCACTGAGCTAAATCCCTGGCCAGGATTTTCTAAACTCAAAAGTTGGTGATGCATTGTTCATAACTGTTACAAAATGGATGCATTAAAACATGGTTTTAGCCATGTATGGTGGCACATGCCTGTAATCTCAGCAATCTGAGAGGCTGAGGCAGGAAAATCTAAAGTTTGAGATGAGCTTGTGCAACTCAGCAATTTTGCAACACTATTTTTCAGCTTTCCCTCTGCTGAGACACAAGACCATGTGCCCACAACTTAAAAGAGAGGTTTAATTTGGCTCAGTGTCAGAGCATTCAGTCTGGTTGGCTGGCTCCAATAGAAACATCATGGTGCAAGGGCATGGCAGAGCAAAGACGTTTGTTCACAGCAGCAGCAGCACTAGAGCCAGAAAGGAAGACCCAGGAAGTAAATCTAGTACCCAAGTTCCCATCTCCAGGACCCTCCCAGTCACACCCAGAAGTGTGTTCTACTAATTCTCTCAGCTATTCCCCAGACAATAGGGTTGATACAATTAAGAACCATCACAGAAGGGAGAGAAGGGAATGGGGAAAAAAGAACCAAGATCTATCATGTAAAGGTACAAATTCCCAGGGCCAGGGATTTTGCTCAGTGGTTCCACCACCTGCCTGCCAAGCGCAAGGTCCTGAGTTCGATCCCTGGTACCAAAAAGCAAAAAAAGGTACAAATTCCCGATGATGAATGTCATTGTGTTGTACACCTAAAATGTACCAATAATTTAAAGAACCATCACAGAGACCCTGCCTCAAAACTAAAGGGGTTGGGGGTGTAGCTTAGTGTGAAGGCTCTGGGGAGGTCCTTTAAAAAGTGACGTGTATTCAAAAAACTGACTTGTACCATCCAAGTTTACACGTTAAAACCAATTATTTTTTCATCAGCAAATGCAACTAATGGTCTATATTGGGAACAAATGTGAACCGTCTGTTACTTCTCCACCTTGGCCTTTTTGCCTTTGCATTCTTCCACTACTCAGTTATTCACAATGTAAATATTTTAGTCAAAACTCATATATATGCAGAATTAACTTATAACTCCTTTTCCTAGTTTTTCACTTGTTCTTATATAGGTAATTACTAGGCTCAATTCTTCTGAGTTTAGTTTTCCATTGTTTTCATAACTACTGCATACCTTGTCAACCCTCCCAACTGTCAAAAAATCTAACTTTTGAGTACTTCCTAGCATACTAAACAGGTTAAAAGAAAAACAGCAGCATGTATGCTGTCATGGACTTGTGACTTTAACTTTCGCTGGCCCCCATTTTGATTCTGTACAACCCTAAGGAAATGTCTGTGGTAGAAAGGCTTTTTTGTTTTTGAGTCCTGCCTCAGCCTCCCTAGTCCTGGGATTACAGGTGTGTACCACCACACCCAGATAGAAAGGCTTATTTGTGTTGTTCAGTGAACTAGCCACGACCGTGTGTGGCATTGAGCACTAAATGTGGCTGATATAACTGAGGATCTGCATTTTTAAAAAAACTTTACAAGCTTATAAAAAGTTTATTAACTGTAGGAAAGAAAAGGTAAAATTTAAATCAAATTTTAAAAGGATATATCTCAATAGAAATAGCAGCAAATAACTTCAACAAATTGTTACAAAAAAGTTTGTTTAATGAATTTATTAGAAGTCTTAATGTCTTACAAGAACATAAAAATGAATGTGCATAAAAGAAAACTTTCCTTCTTGTGACCTGGAAATATAAAAAATGATAATAGTCAATGTAGAAATATATAGGAGACAGGGCTGGGGATTTAGCTCAGTGGTTCTGCCGCCTGCCTTCCGAACGCAAGGTCCCAAGTTCAATCCCTGGTACAAAAAAAAAAAAAAAGATGATCTCGGGCTGGGGATTTAGCTCAGTGGTTCTGCCGCCTGCCTCAAAAGCGCAAGGACCCAAGTTCGATCCCTGGTACCAAAAAAAAAAAAAAGAAAAAATGAAATATATAGGAGAGAGAAATGGTGATAATGCTGATTAACTGCTATCATACATATAAAAAATCTTTAAAATTTTTATTGATTCAAAAATTTGAGTGCAAAAGATGTGAACATTTATGTTTACTGCAAATTATTTGTAAAAGCAAAAGTCTGGGAAATGTTCATTTCTAAGAGATTGATTAGGTAACTTCTGTTACAAACAGCTTGGAATGTTGTAAAATAGTATTCAGCCACTGAATTCTGTGTTATAGGGGCAGATATTGGTGTGGAATAAGGGAGATCATATGGTGCCGTGGCCCCAGGGCTCTGAAATAAGGCACACAGTACAGCAACATCCAGCTAAATGTTTTTAGAAACATACCACTTGGGCTGGGTGCCAACGTGTAGCATGTATGTGGAGTTCTGTTTCCCTGTTTTCAATTTGTCTGCATTGAACATGCACATCTTTTGTAATTCATATAAGCTATACAAAGGGACTCTGTCTTACTTCTTTTTACAAAATGCCAAATGATTTAGTAAAAGAAAAAGGAACCAAAGTATGGGGCTGGGGCAGAGCAGACAACCACAGCACAAGAGGGGCACAACTGGGAGCAAACCAGCCTGATGCTGGCAGAAAGAACAGACCTTTCCGGTGATGAGCAGCCCTTTATCGTCGCTGGTCTGTAACCAAACATGTGAGACATTCTGAGTTATGGTCTTCCCGGAAGGGGCTAAAGGACAGAACTGGAAGTAAAATGTGGGTGTGTTCTAAGCAGGTGGAGGAAGTTTTCCTCTCTTCTTTCTCTTTTTTTTCCTTCCTTCCCTTTCTCCCTCTCCTCCTTCCTTTCTTGTTCATGTAAATAAAATAAGATCTACCCTCCTAGCAAATGGTTACATATAAAAGACAGTGTTGCTAACTATAAGCAGGATGCTGTACAGCAGACATCTAGGACTGCTTCCAGTTGCATAACTGAAACTGTTCCTTTCAGTCAGTGCCTCCTGATTTCCCCTCCCCTTGGCCACTGGCATTTATCTCACTCTGCCGAGTCTGAGATTTCCCATATGAGTGGTATCAAGTAGTATTTGTCTGTGTCTGATTGCACTTAATATAAGGTCCTTCAGGTTTATTTCTGTGCCCTCTAGTGGCAGGATCTCCTTTTAAAGGCTGAACAGTATTCTAGTTCATATACACACACTGTGACTGCAGTCAGCTGTCTGTTCTCCACCCCATTCATCAGATCTCTCCTTCCCCTGAGGGAGCTTCTGTGAATCTTAGCACATTTTGTCTCCAGGTGATTAATCACTGATGTCCAGGAGTTCGTAGAGATTTCAGTCCATAATCGGCTGGCTCCAAGGCAGGGAGGCAGAGCGGCAGCAGTCCATGGCAGCAGAAGACAGCAGAAGCAACAAGGGGGAACTGCGTTTTTAACTTGAATAGCTGTTAGTGGCAACTACTTGATAGCACATTTACAGTCGTTTTTCATGATACTAGGGACTGAACCCAGCACCTCATGAACGCTATGCAAGTGCTCTACCACTGAGCTATATCACCAGTCCCATGTATGTATGTATGTATGTATGTTGATTGGCTTAAGACAGTCTTGTTATGTAGTTCAGGTTGACCTCAAACTCATGGTGATACCCCCACCGCATTCTCCCAAGTGCTGGAATTATGGGCATCCAGCACACCTGAGCTGACCCGTTTTAATTTTTGAGACAGGTTCTCACCAAGTTGTCTAGGCTGCCCTTGAACTTGCACTCTGAGTTTCCTGAGTAGCTCTGATTAGATGTGTGTGTTATCTAAGCACCTGACAACTGTCAGCTCTACCCTCCAATTTAGGTCTCCCAACATCTAGTCTGTTGTACACAGGCCTGGTTTATCTTTTTAAAATCAGATCAACTCTTCCCATCTGGTCAGTAAGTATGATTATGAATACACCCCTTATACTACAGTCCCCCTTTATCCATGGTCTGAGTTACCCAGTCAACTGCAGCTTGAAAATACTAAATGGGGGACCAGGTAATTAGCTCGTTGGCACTGCACCTGCCTCGAAACCGCAAGGTCCTGAGTTTGATCCCTGGTACTGGAAAAAAAAACCCCAAATAAATGAAGAAATAGAAATACAGTAGGTCCTGAGATTGATCCCTTGTACCAGGAAAAAAAAAATACTAAGTGGGAAACTCCAGAAATGAATACTTCACATCTTACATTGGAAACTGTTGTGACTAGTATGGTGAAGTCATGTGCCATCCTGCCTGGGACATGAAACCTTTGTCCAGTAAGTCCAGTACAGCCACAATGCTCCCCCTTCAGTAGCCACATTACTGGATCAACCATCATAGTATTAAAGGGCTTGTGTTCAAGTAACCCCATTTTACTCAGTAATGGCCCCAAACTACAAAAGTAGTAGTGATGCTGGCACTTTTATTACAGAATGATCATTTCAAGTTTTTTATTCTTTTGGTACCGGGGATCAAACTTGGGACCTTGCGCTTTCGAGGCAGGTGGCAGAACCACTGAGCTAAATCCCCAGCCCTTTTTTATTCTTATAGGATGCCTTATTTAGAAAGAAAAAAACAAGCACTTAGGATCCAGTACTACGGAAGGTTTCAGGCATCCACTAGGGTCATCTTACAACTATCCCCTGTTGAGGGCCAGGGATTTAGCTCGGTGGCACGGGCGGGGGCCTTTGTTCATGTGAAATTGACCAGAAAACAAGTATTGTTTTTTTTCTCCGAGTGACTAACCTCTAAAACCTGACTGTAAAGTTTGAAGCAAGACTCTTGTCCTCCTTATAAAATTCCATTCTCAAACTTGGGCTCCTCCTACCTCAGTCTCCCCAAGTGTTGGGATTACAGGTTCGTCACCATGCCCAGGTCGTCTTCCTTAATTAAAAACCACACGTTGGGCTGGGGATTTAGCTCAGTGGCACCACACCTGCCTTGCAAGCACAAGGTCCTGAGTTCAATGCCCAATACAAAAAAAAAACCCCACACGTAAAAAAGAAAAACGTTAAATATACAATTCTGAGTCAAAAAACACAAAGACTTGGGTATGAATACTACTGTATTTATTTTCCCCACAGCTTCAACATTTCTGCCTCCAAAGAACAAAGTTTAGAACTGGATCACTTGGCCCTTTCTCTTCTTGTCTCCTCCCAGTTCAAAATGCTTGCATCTCTTAATGGCCAGCATCCTCTTCGATCTGCAGTTAGGCTCCACACACTCAAGCCTCAGCACAATCTTCTTTGTGGTTTTAGCCTTCTTCCGGAAAATTGGTTTTGTCTGCCCACCGTAGCCACTCTGCTTCCGATCGTAGCGCCTCTTTCCTTGGGCATACAGGGAATCCTTGCCCTTCTTATACTGGGTCACTTTGTGAGGCTGATGCTTGCCACACTTCTTACAGAAAGTCCTTCGGGTTTTAGGTACGTTGACCATCTTGGCAGTAGAGCTGCCTACACGATAAAAACTGCAATAAAATATTTAAAATAAGGTAAAAGACAGGAAACATTTTGAAAACCTAAAAGCGTTAAACAAATTTGCATAGGAAAAGAGCATGTGGGGCTGGAGATTTAGCTCAGTGGTTTCGCCGCCTGGAGCAAGGACCCAAGTTCGATCCCCGGTAACAAAAAAAAAAAAAAAAAGGGAAAAGAGCATGACATGAACCAATCATGTAACCTAGTCACGGTTTTTGAGACAGGGTGTCCTGTGTAGTCCCGCTAGCCTCAAAATTGTGGCAACCTCTGGCTTCAGTCTCTCCTGGGGTTACAAGCGTGCGCCACCACAACCGGCAGACCCCATGCTTTTGGAATGCTTAAGTTACTGGATAGGGCTGGGGTGTGACTCATCGAGACAGGAGCTGACTACAGTGTGGGGCTTGGCTTTGACCCGCGGCACAGCAGGCCCTCCAGGGTCGCCAGGACAATTGGTTCTCTGCACAAAGTGGGTTTCCTTAACGCTTTGCCCAGGAAAAAACAAAACCAAAAACTGGTGGTGCTGATCTCATTTTCCCCCGCAGAAAGAGTAAAGCGTAGTTCCCCACCCCGCGTCCTCCATTTTCTAGCTCCTGGGCATGGCTGGAACGAACAGTCCGCGAGGTAGCAGCTTTACGACTCGCCCTGTTCCTTCTCAAGACTCATCGTCCTAGCTTCACTTCTCCCCACGGCGGCATGCTCACCCCTCAGCAGCCGTGAAGGCTGACGTGTCCTTAACCCGTCGGCTGGCCTCGCGGCCCACAGGCCGCCCGCCATGTGTGAGCTCCTTTCCGGACGTCGAAGCCAGTCTCGAACTCCACTAACCTAAGCCTGAGGGTCTCTTCCCTTTCGTACAAAAGCCTACTCCACCCCCGGGTACTGAGCACTAGGGACTCGGGTCCGAACCGTCTCAGTCCCCATCTCCACTTACTGAGGTATCCGCCGTCCGCACTTCTCGCCTCGCGCAGCTCGCGCCTCACAGGAAAGGGAGGGTCGAGGCGGAAGTAGGAACTGAGCTTGAGCGACATGCCTGCGAGCCAATAGGCAGCCGGCTACGCCGGCGAGGCGCCTGCGGACGCGTCTACGAAACGCCAACCAGCGGCCCCGGGGGCGGGCCTGAGGGTGTGGGCCGGGGGCCGCGGGGCTCCGCGGTCCAGTCGCGGGTTGTCAGAGCTGCTGGAGTGGTGCGAGGCTTCCTCGCTCTGGTTGGCCGCCCCGAACCAAGTCAGAATGAGAACGCAGGGGACTCAGGGCCTTTGGAGCCGCAGGTAAAGAAGCTGGGGTGCGGTGGGTCCGTGCTAAATGGAGAGGACCGAGGCGACGCCGCGCCGCGGCTCCTAGCGGCGGGGCCGCTGCCTGAGCTGCAGCTGCCGGACGAGGATGTGTGGAGATCGGGCGGCGCTGGCCAGGTGAGAGCCTTCGGGCCCCAGGACCAGTGGGGCGCGGGATGAGTTAGTGAGGACAGCCGCGGGGGCCAGTTCCTACTGCCGCAGGCCGAGGTGACGGCCGCCGCCGCCCGCCCCTTCCGTGCAGAGGCCGCCAGCTCCTTTCCGCGCCCGCCCGCCCGCGCTCCCGGCCCTGGAGACCATGAGGTTCCGCATCTACAAGCGAAAGGTGCTGATCCTGACGCTCGTGGTGGCTGCCTGCGGCTTCGTCCTCTGGAGCAGCAATGGGCGACAGAGGAAGAACGAGGCCTTGGCTCCGCCGCTGCTGGACGCCGAGCCCGCGCGGGGTGCGGGCGGCCGGGGCGGGGACCACCCTGCCGTGTCAGTGGGCATCCGCAGGGGCTCCAACGAGTCGGCAGCACCGCTGGTCCCTGCTGCCCCGCAGCCCGAGGCGGACAACCTGACGCTGCGGTACCGGTCGCTTGTGTACCAGCTGAACTTTGATCAGACGCTGAGGAATGTAGAGAAAGGCGGCACCTGGGCCCCCCGGGAGCTAGTGCTGGTGGTCCAGGTGCACAACCGGCCCGAATACCTCCGACTGCTGCTGGACTCACTTCGAAAAGCCCAGGGCATCGACGACGTCCTCGTCATCTTTAGCCACGACTTCTGGTCTACAGAGATCAACCAGCTGATCGCTGGGGTGGATTTCTGTCCGGTTCTGCAGGTGTTCTTTCCTTTCAGCATTCAGTTGTACCCCAGCGAGTTTCCAGGCAGTGACCCTAGAGATTGCCCCAGAGACCTGCAGAAGAACGCAGCTTTGAAATTGGGGTGCATTAATGCTGAGTATCCCGACTCCTTCGGCCATTATAGAGAGGCCAAATTCTCCCAAACCAAACATCATTGGTGGTGGAAGCTGCATTTTGTATGGGAACGGGTCAAAGTTCTTCAGGATTATTCTGGCCTTATACTTTTCTTAGAAGAAGACCACTACTTAGCCCCAGACTTTTACCATGTGTTCAAAAAGATGTGGAAATTGAAGCAGCAAGAGTGTCCGGAGTGTGATGTTCTTTCACTGGGGACCTATACTGCCCCTCGTAGCTTCTATGGCATTGCTGACAAGGTAGATGTAAAAACTTGGAAATCCACAGAGCACAATATGGGGTTAGCCTTGACCCGGGATGCATATCAAAAGCTGATTGAGTGCACAGACACTTTCTGTACTTACGATGACTATAACTGGGACTGGACTCTTCAATATTTGACTGTATCCTGTCTTCCAAAATACTGGAAAGTGCTGGTTCCTCAAGCACCTAGGATTTTTCATGCTGGAGACTGTGGTATGCATCACAAGAAAACATGTAGGCCGTCCACCCAGAGTGCCCAGATTGAGTCACTCTTAACTAGTAACAAGCAGTACGTGTTTCCAGAAACTCTAATTATTGGTGAGAAGTTTACTATGGTAGCTGTTTCCCCACCTAGGAAAAATGGAGGGTGGGGCGATATTAGGGACCATGAACTCTGTAAAAGTTATAGAAGACTGCAGTGAAAAAAAAAATCAATTACATAAGCAAAAGTGACAGTCTTCTATTTTTGATATTTGTCTGAACAGGATATACAATTGAATAATAAAGGGGTTTCTGCTTTAATACAAAAAATTTTTTCTTGTAAAAGGTGTCCCAATATATAGTAATCTTTTTCAGTTATGTCTGGTTAAGATTTAAAAGTGAAGTTTTCATTTTGGGAGTTGGGTTTTGAAGCTCAATCTGTATCTGCTAAAGGTCATGATTATTAATTCACAAGAAAGTTAAGGGGAAATTTTATTTAAATTGCATCTGTTAATCTTTTAAAACTTTGTACACTTTTCCACTTTCAAAACTTAAGTACAGCAGAATTTAAAATTCAGCGGTAAAAAGTATTACAATTGAAATCATTAGAGTATTAATGGAACAAGTCCAATTTCACTGACATGGTTATTAGAGATTGCTTCAGTGGTTTAAGAACTCAACAGCTATGTTTGTTAAACACCCTCTCAGAACAGTCATTTTCAGTATTATGGATTCCTGTACTGTTGTGTTAAGATTTGCCTGTGCTTTGGAAACTTCATAGAACACACTTTCTTTTGGAATGTATTTGATAAGAAATTTTAAACATTGTTTTCACCTCAATGTAGAAATACAGTGTTTTTTTTTTTTCTTTTAATGCTGCCAAAATAAAATACTCATTTTTGCATAAAAAGGTTCCTCATTATTATATTTTTTTCTTTGGTACCAGGGATCAAACTTGGTACCTTGTGCTTTTGAGGCAGGCGGCAGAACCAGAGCTAAATCCCAGGCCCAGTTCCTAATTATTTTACAGAATGTTTTATTTACACCAAAAGTCAAGACATTCTAGAAGTTTTGAACATCAGCATTACATCTTAATGTTTATTTATTATCTATACATTATATGAAATAAAACCCTATTCATGAGTCCATTCCCTGTGGGTTTCAAATTAGGCACAGATAAGGAACAATAAAAAGCTGCTGTGTAAGGGAAATACAGCCTGAATTGTTTGTGAAGACCAGAAATGATGCAAAGTTCAGTAGTGCCAAAGTGCAACATGTTCTAGTGCCAGCTTTAACTGAAATCATACCTTTTTTTAAAGAACAGATACAGGGCTGGGAGTGGTGCGCACCTGTGATCCCAGCACTTGGTAGGCTGAGGGAGGAGGGTCACCACAGGCAAGGCCAGCCTGAACTACATAGTGAGACCCTGTCTCAAAAACAAAACAAAGCCAGGCATGGTTGGTGGTGCACATCTGTAATCTTAGCACTTAGGGTGAGGCAGAAGATTACCTTGAGTTTGAGGCCACCCTGAACTACATAGCAAGACCCTATCTCAAAACAAAACACAACACAATACAGTAGATACAAGGACTGGGAGTTTAGCTCAGTGGTAGAGCATTTGCCTAGTTATGCTCCAGGCCCTGGATTCAATTTTCAGCGCCAGGAGTCAGGGACAGTAAATAGAAAACAGGTTTAAAATTTACTTCATGTTTAATATAGAAGTCTCTCTCCTCTAATGTAACTGCATTCCACCAAAAATTATTCAGACTAATTTCTGTGTAAAGATTTTACTATTGGAATTTCAACCTTTAAGACAGTCTCAATATTATTGTTGTATCAACTTAAGACTCAGTGTGGACACTTGGCTGATTCCTAAGGGCTGGCAATTTTAATGCTACTCTGTGTGGCTTGGGATCAGATCAACCAGAGAGAAAGAACTGAGGCCAGGCCCCTTGGGCCAGCTCACTCATTGTTCATGGGATGCTTCGCAGCATCCTTGGCCTCTGTCCAACAGTCACCAGTCTCACGTGCCTAGGTATGATAATAAAAAGTGTTTCCAGACATTACTTAATGTCCTTTAGGGGACAAAATCACCCCCTTGAGAGCACTGAACAAAGTGGATTGAAAACAACTTTTTTTTTTCCTTGGGGGTACTAGGGATTGAAACAGAAGCAGGGCCTTTGCACTGAGCTACATCCCCAGCCCTTTTTTATTCTTTGAGACAGGGTCTTGCTAAGTCACTGAGTTGCCCAGGGTGGGATCGAACTTGCAATCTTCCTGCCTCGGCCTCCCAGAGTGCTGAGATTACAGGCATGTACCACCATGTCTGGGCGAAGCCAATGTTTTCCATGTTTAGGAATTAGGTGACCCTTAGTGACTCAAGCATGTGGTTAAAAATATACCAATCTCCATAAAAAGGAACCAAGCACTCACAGGCTACGACGTAGATGAAAATCGGAAACTCGTGGCTTGGGGAGAGAAGCCAGACATAAAAGGTCACATATTGTACTGAGAGGGGAGGCCAACCCTCTGTATGGAATCGGGTAACTATAGGTTAACTGTGTTATTAGGCAACTATGGGTTAACTAGGTAACTGTGCTCTTTGTAGAATGCACCTGAGTAGCCACGACAACTTCTGTAATCTGTCACCAAAGGAGCATAACGGACTCAGAAAGTGCTGCCAGAACTCTGCTCTCCCCACCTCTACTGCTCTGCTTTGTGTGAATCCCGCTTACTATATTCCCAGGGAAATGCCAATGGAATTAAGCTTCTTAGATGTAAAAAGATGTACACAAAGAAGAACAAATATCTACTCCAGGCTCTTGAGACTGACAGGAGTCACTTGCTGAGCCGCCAGCATTAAAAGCTACTTTTTGCTCCTAAAAAAAAAAAAAAAGATTCAGTGTGGATGAAAAATGGATGTTTCTCTAAGGTAAGGCAAATAGCTCTCTTGCTTTGTGATACATTAATACTACCCCTACATCCCAATCTGGTGCCGTTTTTGTCTGAGGTTATAAATTTGAATCAGAGTGAATCACCAGGCTTTACCACAGCTTTTGCTACCCTGACCTATCACCAGTTCAAATAACTGAAAAGATGAGGCGATTCCCAGGACCAAGCTAAGGCCCATTGTCTAAACTCTAGCCTTATCTGGGACAGAAATACTTACAAAGGGTTAGTTATTAAATCAATAAATATATATATATTTTTACTATATTTTCTTTCATACTGTCCTAAAAAGTTTTGTGGAAAAAAACAACTGGATAAGCTTTTCCTCTTTGCTTCATATTTTGTGTTACAAAGAAATTGACTATGAAACAGTGGTTTTGTTTTGATGTACTAATACAATTTTCCTGCTGGGGATTTAGCTCAGTGGTTCTGCTGCCTGCCTCAAAAGTACAAGGACTCGAGTTTGATCCCCAGAACCAAAAAAAAAAATTACAATTTTCCTATCGGAACAAATAGCCTGTTTTAAAATTGTTGAGATTCTTAAATGTATTCTATGAAACCAAAAGATCTTTTAATATTTCAATAACTTCAAAAATTGAATTTTGAAAAGCATGACTTTGACCTCATAATATGTACTTACATATATTTGTTTAACAGATATGAGTAAAATATAATCGATGCAAAAATACTGAATTTCATATGGTGTATTTGTAATCATTTAATCCTTAATACTGATTAAAGTTCTTCTGCCTCTAAAAAGCTGTCTTTAGCACAAACACATCGTACTCAGAAACAAGTAGTTTTGAAATTCCACTCCTGCAGTTATATCTCTAGTTACTTCCAATCTTGAAAATTAGTTTGTGTGACAAACACAACTTAGTGAATATTTTGAAACTTTATTAAAGTAATGGTAAACAAAAGAAGCAAAAATCATCAAAGTCAATAAATACAGGTTGTATTAAAACAATGTTTTATTCTCCATTAGGAAAAAACCTCTATCAGAAGAATCACAAAACTAGTATTTCTATGATTAAGGAAACTTTTAAATTCTAAAGAAAAATATCTCCAGTTTCCCCACTGGAATTAAAATTTGTATTTTGTTGAATAGCTTTAGTTTTAATAGTTAACAAACTATTTTAGATCTCCCAATTTTTTACTTTTAACATTCACATTCCAAAATTACATTTAATTAATCCAAATCATACAGCAAAGAATTCTGAAAACTGAATGCACAATGAGTCACATGATCTTTAATAATCTGGACACTGCCATCCTGCATATTGATTTCTTTTATGCTATCAAAATCAGTTGTATTGTGAATTACAGTTTTGTTCAGTGATGAAGATTGGTGATCTCCATCTAACTGTTTTTCTTCAGTTATGACTGGTTCCTTTAAATTATCTTCCTCATTTGAATAAGTAGCACTTTTTTCTTTTACAAATTGAGGTTCCATTTTTGCCTCAAGTGGCTGAGATTTTCCTAGTTGCATTTGAGAAACATCAAGAGGCTCTTGTTGAAAGCCTGCAACTGAACCACAAATATCTATTTCTGGTGCTTTAACTGATATAGATGAATCAGAATCAATTGTAGAAGTGGTAAGATGTTCTATATTTTCATTTTCAGTTAGAGGACATCCTTCATTGATTCTTTTTTCCTTTCCTTGAAGCTGATCAGGATTACTACATTCTTGTAACTATCAAAGAAAAAATGAGATTAATAATTCTTTGAAAAATCACGTTCAATTGTACCATTAGAAAATTAAGTTTTTAAAAAGCTGTATGGTAATAACACCTGCAGACCTGCAAATATGCTTGATGCTTCCTCCTCAAAGTCATCTTCAAAATGCTGCCATTTCTAACTATGCAAACCTGGTTTTAATTATCTGATTAAGTCCTTTCCGTTACTCTTTATCTCTTTCAGGGTAAAATAATCCAAGCTTTTTAACACAGTCTACAAAACCCTTTAACAGTCATTTTTACAAGGACATGGCTAATTTCTTGAGCTTTTTTGAATTACTGTGATTCTTCAGAGCCATCTTTCCCCTAGTTCAGATATCAGTGGGGCCTGTCACTGTTATTTTTGTGTCCAATGTTAAAGACTATAAAAATGATCAAGGGCCAGGGATTTAGCTCAGTGGTGCTGTGCCTGCCTGGCAAGTGCAAGGTCCTGAGTTTGATCCCTGGTACCAAAAAAAAAAAAAATCAAACTTAAGGCTTAACTGGAAAGAACGGACAAATTTTATGACATAATTGCCATGATTTAAACAAGGCGTGGTGGCACACACCTGTAACTGATAGACTGAGGCAAGAGGATCTCTGAGAGTTCAAAGCCAGCCTGGGCTCCATAGTGAGTTCATGGCCAGCCGGAACTACATAGCCAGACCTTGTCTCAAAAAAAAAAAAAAAACTGCCATGACTTGAAAGTCAAGAGACTTGTGTCTTCTTTTTGCGTGTGTGTGTCTCCTAATAATGGAGTGTTTAAGCATATAGAAATATGCAGACAAGTCTTTTCTCCTACATTCTCACCAGCCATATACAGTACATTTTGTTTTAAAGTTACAATATGAAATCAAGAGTTAAGTTTTAACCTTGCCATTAGTCACGCCCCTAAAAGGCCCATCAAAATCTTACCTTTGCATGAATTTGAATCTTCTCATCAGTAACCTGAAGAACTTCAATTAATGGTGGGGTTGGGAGCACTGTCTGTTTGAATGGAGGGTTCAGGACCTCTTCAAGAAACTCATTAACATTTTCTTCACTGACAAATAACCTTTCCTAAAGTAAAAAGGGAAAAAAAATATTCTGTCTTGTAGGGCATACTTAACACAGTTGTATCTAAAAGCAGTTCACAAAAGCTCACACAGTTCAGGGTAACACTTTTTTTGGTACCGGGTATCGAACTCGGGACCTTGTGCTTGCCAGGCAGGCAGCAGAACCACTGAGCTAAATGCCTAGCCCACGGTAATACTTTTTAAAATGTTTTTTCTTTTGGTACTGGGAATCGAACTCAGGACCTTGCACTTGCAAGGCAGGGGTGGCGCCACTGAGCTGAAACTCTGGCCTTTTTTTTTTTTTGGTTTTTAAGAGACAGAGTCTGCCTATGTAGTTCAGGCTGGTCTTGAACTCACTACATAGCCTAAGCTCACTTTTGGAGACCCTCCTGCCTAAACCTCCCAAGTGCTGGGATTACAAGCATGTGCTACTACACCCAGCTACAACGTTGATCTTAACATTATTCCTGTATGTTGTCTTGGAGAAAGAAAATTTTAATATTGCACAGAACAACACAAATTGTACCAAGTATGTGTGTATAATTACATTTTTAAAAAATAAATGTTTAAAAGCTTTGGTTCTTTATCTAGGTTTATTAAATCTGAGGTATGTTTTCTCTTACTAGATAGTATTAACTTACAAATAGTATTTTTTTCTTTTTTTTTTTTTGGTACCAGGGATTGAACTCACGTCCTTGTGCCTGCGAGGCAGGTGGTGGAACCACTGAGCTAAATCTCCAGCCAGTATTTTTCTTTTTTTCTCCCTTAATACTTCGTATTAATAACTTCACTTCTAATATAAATGTGCATTGGTCAGCTTTCTGTCGCAGGGACAAAATACCTAACACCCACAACCTAGAGGAGGAGATGTTTATTTTCTTATTTATTTTTACTTTATTTTTTTCTGGTACTGGGGACTGAACTCAGGACTTTGTGCTTGCCAGTCAGGCACAGCACCACTGAGGTAAATCCCTGGCCCTATTTTGGGTTTTTTGAGACAGGGTCTCACTTATGTACTCCAGGCTGGCCTCAAGCTGGGGGCGATCCTCTTCCCCCAGCCTCTCTAGTGCTGAAATTACAGGCCTGTGCCACCACACCTGGGTAATGTTTATTTTGGCTCAGTTTCAGTTCATGGCTGGCCAGATCCAAGGTAGAAATATGGCAGAAAGGCAGGTGGGAGAAAAGCTGGTCAAGTCAAGACATCCAGCAAGCAAAGAGCAGGGGAAGGGCCCAGAACCAGAAATAGTACCCAATATCATGTCCCAGTCACCCACTCCTGCAGCTATTTGGGCAGCCCATCCAGTCAGGAATTCACCAACGGGATAGCCCTGGCAACGCAATCAATTTGCCACAAGTCAAGCCCAGACTTAACCATCACAAAATCCAATGCCAGGTATAAAATACAATTCAATTAGCCGGTCATGGTGGCGCACACCTGTGATCTCAGCACTCAGGAGGCTGAGGCAGGAGGATCGCTGAGTTTGAGGCCATCCTGGGCTACACAGTGAGTTCAAGGCCAGCCTGCACTACAAAATGAGACCCTGTCTCCAAAAAAAAAAAAAAAGAAGAAAAAAAAATACAATTCAGTTTCAGGATAATTTCTAATGAGCCAGGTAAGAAATACACAAAAGGATCTGTTCAATATTGTGTGAACAGTTTTTCTATTTTGGGCCATGTAAGAGCCCATTATATTTTATTTAAAAGAAGTATAGGGCTGGGAATTTAGCTCAGTGGTTTCACCGCCTGCTGCGCAAGCGCAAGGACCGGAGTTCAATCCCTGGTTCCATAAAAAAAAATTTGTTCAAAGAAGTATATTCTATGTTTAAGAACTGAGGTACTTCAGCATGACACTAATATATAGTTATTTATAAGAATGACACAGATTTCGTGCCTGATGTTGGGGTACACGCCTGTAATCCCAGCACTCTGGAGGCTGAGGTAGGAGGAGCTCAGCAAGTTTGGGGCCAGCCTGGAATACATAGCGAGATCCTGTGTCAAAACAAAACAAAAAAGAATGAGGTAGATTTCAAGACACTGATATGGGAAGATTTCCAAACTATAAGAAGATTTAAGAGTCACTCTCATTTGAATCCCAAACATGAGACAATGTGTTCATATCATGTCAAGTGGCTATAGGTATGTTGGAGTATGGGAAGGATAACCATACTAACCATTTTTTTCATAACTAACCATATTTAAAATTCCTTCATTGTCCTTTAATAAAAGCAAATTTTATAATTACAAAATAAACATAGCTCATTATTTGATCTAAATAAGAGAAAATTAGAAGAAGCAAGTTTCAAGTTCTCTTCCATTAAACAGTATTTGAACTGTGAACACCTACCAAACAAAAGTGAACTTGGAAAAAAAACTTTACATTTAGACTAATTTGCCTTGCTATTATGTAAAGATTCAGAATACTGTATTACAGAAGTACCCCCATCAAAAGCATTTCTACGGTTCATGCCACCAAAAAAGACATTCATATTGCCTCACTGCACCAAATACTTTTTAATTAACTCAAGGAGAAAATATTTATTTCAGAAATGGTTCTAATTAAATACAGACTATTTGCATACACTTTTCTTCTCATTCTATTGACTGATTTTACTATGAGTTTCTGAACTTACTGGCCCTGAAGCTCAAGGAAAACTCTCAGTGAATATTTAAGCCTTACGTAAATATCTTTAACATATATTTGTATGTAAAATAACAATTCTGGTCTTGAGAAAGTCTCTCTACATTATTTCTTTCATATAATGCACATAATAATATAATCATTATATGTCTCCCACTCCCCAGGTTTGGGATTCAACTGAAGCCCTTCATACTGTGGTATCTCAGCTGCTTTTATTTTTTAATTTTGAGACCAGGTCTAAGTTACAAGTCAGGACTAACTTTCAGTCCTTCTGCCCCAGCCTCCCAGGCATCCACCATCATGTCCAGTTATAATTTTAAAAAATTTACCTTTATTAGCCAGACGTGGTGGCACATGCCTGTAATTCCAGCACTTGGAAGACTGAGGCAGGAGGACTGCCCTGAGTTCAAGGCCAGCCTGAACTACATAGCAAGACCCTGTCTCAAAATAAATTAATTAAAAAAATTTTAAAAATAAATAAAATTTACTTTCACTTAAGAGCCTGTTCAGTACAATGTAAAGCAACAGATTTGGACGTGATGGTCCCATCAACCCTAGCAAATACAGCAATTAATGAAGTAATTATGATAAATCTATTTCAGGCTTCAAAGATAGTAAGACAGTTGCCTTAATCCCATTTTGGTTTAGTTTCTTTGCTGAAATGTTAACATACTAGCAAATCAAATAAATATATTCTTCGTTTTTTCTGTTCGTTAGCTTTGTGAGGCAGGGTCTCACTATATAGTTCAAGCAGGCCTTGAACTATGTAGCCCAGACTGGTCTCGAACTCAGTGATCCTTCTGCCTCAGCCTCAATGTTGAAATTACAGGTATATGCCACCATGTTCATCTTAAAATATATTTTTTTCCTTTTTCTTTTTTAAGACAGGGCTTAGCTATGTAGTTCAGGCTGGCCTTGAACTGACTACATAGCCCAGGCTGGCCTAGATCGAAGGAATCCTCCTGCCTCAGCCTCCCGAGTGCTAGGATTACAGGCATGCACCACCACGCCCAGCTAAAGTATATTCTTGAATATTCTCTTAACTGCTTGTCCATTAAGTTTTCTTCTCACACTGTGAGTTATTCATATCTATTAAGACACAGGAAAACAAATGCCTTTTCCTAAATTTACACACAGTGAACCATAATACAGTGAACTATATTAATATAATTAATATAATTAATATAGTGATTTATATAATATACAGTGAACTATAATATAATGCTATATTATACTATAATGCTCAGCCCACTTGTTTGTCCAGAACCACAGCAGAGTTAAATGCTAGCATTGTGCTAAATACTAATAAGGTCCTAAGAATAATTAAAAGAGACTTGGCTGGGCGTGGTGGCACAAGCCTGTATTCACAGTTCTCTGGGAGGATGAAGCAGGAGGATAACAAGTTCGAGCCCAGAAGGAGACTGTATCAAAATGCAAGGAGAGGAGGGGTTTCTGAGGATGTAGCTCAGTGCGAAGGCCCTGGGTTCAATCCCCAGGGTAAGCCAGCACCCACCAGAGGACAACTTCAACACTAGCTACAATTAAGCTGCACTATAGGGGGGTAATGGCATGGAATTTACAGTGACACTTGGGTCTGAGTTTCTCACATAAGACCTGTGCGACAAGAGTTCAGTTAACTTTCCGCCTCCAGAAACAAATTATTACTTTCTTTACTCAGAAAAAGTAATTTGAGTCGGCCACTTTGATGCGCTTCTTAAACTTATCAAAAGGCATCACAGAGGCCGAGTATTTAGCTCAGTGGTTTCGCCGCCTGCTGCGCAAGCGCAAGGACCTGAGTTCGATCCCCGGTACCAAAAAAAAAAGGCATCACAGATTCCTTTGAGGATATGAGCAGTTATAGTGACCTTTTCTCCAGGGGAAAACACTCTCGACTTTGCATACAACCCCACAGGTCTACGAATCAGAGAATCCACTGTGTCTCCTTGCGCCTTGGTTAGAATAAACGGAGAGTGTGGTTGTAAGCAAATTTTAAAACTGAGATGGAGTATTTCAACTATTAAGACTAAAACGAACCATTACCTCCAAAGAACAGCTGTTTAAACCGTAAAACCACTCTCGCCAATGTCCACGGCTCCCTGGAGATTTGGCCAGCACTATCACTGCATTGTCTGAAGAAACGCTAATCTCGGGTTCTTTGGTACTCAACTTATTCTCTGGAGCAAACTGCAAGTGGAAGGAATAAGCTAAGTCTTGTGTGGCGAAGTTCAATTTGTACCGGAGGGGGTTCAGATCTCCTCGGAGGCTTTGTGGCTGAACCCCGGGCACTTGAACTAGCAGAGTCAGGGAGTCTTCGTCCTGACTGCACTGCAGGGCAGGACACGAAGGATCCCCGCTCTCGGCCGCCGAGCCTCCCATGGCTCGGCCCGAGCGCGGGCCGCCCGCGCCCTCGCTTCCTGCCGGAGACTCCCCACCGGCGCCCCGGGACGAAGCACAAGGGGAGCCTCTCCCTGCGTCCCCAGGCCAGCTTCCAGCTCCGGGAGGCTGCTCCTTCTCCAGACCCGGGAACGAGCGCCAAGACGTACCCACGTTCGGCTCCACAGACTCTGGGACCAGCTGTTCCGGGGCCCCAGGAGCCGCGCTCCCTACGTCACTTCCGGGCGCGCCCGGAGACTCTTCCGGCGTCGAGCTGGGCTCTGGGAGCGCAGCGCACTGTGCCACAGGCAAGGTGACCACCAGCTGCCGCCGCGCCTTGATGAACTGCGCCTTGCCGCGACTGTCGTCCACCGGGTACGGGAGCGAGAGCCGCAGCCGGTAGTCCGGTTTGCTCGAATCGAGGCACAGCAGCTTTCCCGACACCTCCAGCGCCGCCTGCTCCGCCGAGCGCAGCAGCGGGAGCTCGATGGTGACCACCAGCTCGTGCGGTACGGGGCTGGGCGCCGAGTCCCGGGAGCAGCGGTAATCTTGCAGGTCCACGAGGTGGCGCTGCACCACGCTGCAGCGAGGCTCGGTGGGCGCGGGCTGCGGCGCCGTCGCGGGAGTGGAGGGCGCCGGGGCCCGCGGGCCCGCGGGGTTCTCTGCGGCCACGGCGTGCGGGTAGGGGTAGGGGAAGTCGGGGAGCGGCCCCTCGGGAGCCCCTGCGGACCGGTTCGCGCAGTTTCCCGGCAGGGGTGTGCGCAGCACTGCCGCCTCTGGGGTCCCCTTGTACTTGATCTTTAGCGTCCTGGCGTTCCTGCCGTCCAGCTGGACGCGGAACTGCTGCTCCACCGCCTCCAGGGCCGTGGCGTCCAGCATCTGACGGAAGCGCGCGTGGCGCCGGGCCAGCGCGAGCGCATCGGGGTGGAAGACCACGTCGTAAACGGTGTAGCGGGAGCCGCCGCGCCCCGCGAACTGGCGGCCGGGCGCCAGGCTGTAGGGTAGGGACCACTGGCTGCCAGACGCCGGGCCCGGGCGGCTGCTGGGCGCGCCCACCAGCGCGTTGCTGCACACGTTCACGTAACAGCGCCGAGCCCCGTCCAGGCTGGTGCGCAGCACGTAGCCGGGCTCCGGGTGCACAAACCGCACCTCCACTCCGCGCTCCCGCTCCAGCGCTGTGATCTCCGCCTCGTAACGCCGCCGGTTGTCGGGGTCGGTGATCTCCTGCGCGTACTCGGAGAACATGCGTCGGAAATCGGGGTCCTGGAAAGCGGAGGTGAGCCGCTGGACCTCCTCTTTGCTCAGGTCCAAGTCCTCTAGCGGCGAGGAACCCGCTGCTGTGGCCATGCTGTTTTGCGATTCCTTGCTCTCGCCCTAAGGATGATGAGACGAAGCTTGGGTAGGTAAGACGCCCCGCGGCGTCTCCGGTTCGTGGCGAGTGACCGGCCTGGAGTCGGAGTTGGTAACGGCTGTTGAGCCCGGGCAGCGCGTGCTTGTTGCCATAGGAACACCACCCACACCGAGAGGAGGGGCAGCAACCGGGTGGAAATGCTAGAAATAGCTTCATCTCTTCTCCAGCCATTCAACCTGCTGCATTTTTTAGATTCCTGTGCCATTTAAGTGTCGCAGTTTACAACATTTTGAACATCGTCTCATTCAGTGCTCATAACACTGTAAGATGAACATCCTTACTTCACAGGCAAGATGGGGACCTGAGAAGTTGCCAGAGTCCCCAGGCCAGAGTCCTGTAGCCAGTTGTATTCACCAGCTGATTCTAAGCTAACTTTATCTGCCTTTTTTCATTTTGCTAAGCCAACAGTTTAATTTTAATTTTTACTCTTTGAATTTTCTGGATGTTTTGCTATACATTCTGGCCAGTTAAAACTCACTTGGGGCTAAAAGTTATGGGCAGGCTAGTCGGAAGCAAATACCACCTGCCAATAAATATATAAAACTTAAGGCCAGGGATTTGCTCAGTGGTGCCACCGCCTGCCTCGCAAACACAAGGTCCCGGGTTCGATCCTTGGTACGAAAACAAAAACAAAAACCTTCAGCTTCATTAATAATAAAAATGCAAATACAAGATACTATATAGCACCTATCAAAATGGCCAAGACTTGTGTACAATTATCGTATTCTCATGATAGGAATATATAAATACTTTTTAACCCAGATACACTTTGAATAAATATCTGACCCATTTGTAAGGGCATGATTTTAAAAGTTTAGAATCTTAAGAGTTCAACAGGGAACTGACAGCAGATTTTGGTAGTGATGACAGGATTTTGTGTCGTCACTGGAAGTGATTGTAGAGAAATGGGTTTTGCATGTGCTGCTAGGGATGGAACCCAGTGCCTGACTCCTATAGCACGTGCTCTACTAATGGGCCATCTCCCAGTCCCAAAGTATATCTGACTGGGGTAGTTATTTTTTAATTGGTAGCTTGTCAATTCCATGATCATTTTTCTATTCTCAGCAACACAACTCAATTGATGATGTGGTATTACCTCAGTGACAAGAGCCTTTCCAAGTTTTTCTCCTACCTCCTCATGCTTTCAGTCTGTTTTGCGGGTGTCTCCCATTCAGTTTGTAGTAGAAATGCTCTGAGCCTCTTCTCCATCTATACCGTCCTTTACAAATATATGCACACCCACAAATACCAAACTTGTATTTCAGGATCCAAACTCTGGACTTTCATATCCAAACTCTGGACTTTCATATCCAGCTGACCACTTGAAGTTTCCCATTAATGCTTAAGCCTTTCAGGGTTTTTTTTTGATACCGGGAATCAAACTCAGGACCTTGTGCTTACAAGCCAGGCATGGTGCCACTGGGCTAAATCTCCAGCCTCGTTTCCATCTTTTTATTTTTAACAGGGTCTCACTATGTAGTTCCAGCTGGCCTTGAACTCACTAGAGAGCCCAGGCTGGCCGCGAGCTCTGGTGATGGACCTGCTTCAACCTCCTGAGTGCTTGATCACAGGCGTGGGCCACCACACTAACCCTAGCCTCTTAGTTTTGAAATGACTAAAAGTAGAATTCCAGACTCTTCTCCTTTCACAAACCTAAGCCATGATCTCTTGGCAGCCTTCAAAGCAACTGACCACCACATTTGGAACACATTTTTCTCTTGATTTATGGAACTCAAAGCTCTCCAATTTTCCTTGTGTTTCTTGATCCTCTTCTGTTTTTTAAATGTGGGAGTCACTCAAGACACCCAGCCCTCTTATCTAATATGTCTTCCAAGATGATTTTACCCAAGCCCATAGCATGTATGTTCAGATTAGTCCTTCCAACAGATAATCTGTTGCAAATTCCGAAATATATGTATCACTGTTCTGAGTACCCAAACAAAACAAAATCATGCTCCAAGGATGTGAAGCAACCTGCATTCTCATGTGCTGGAAGAATGTATTGGAACAAGCACTTTGGAAATTTGTAATCGAACATAATACATAACTTATGACTAAGAATTTTTTTTTTTTGGTACCAGGGATTGAACTCAGGACCTTGTGATTGCCAGACAGGCAGCGGCACCACTGAGCCCAGCCCCTAAGAAATTTTGAGATATAGTTCAGCAGAGACACATCATTAGTACAAGGTATATGGCAGAATGTGTATATTCAGAACAACACTGTTCATAATCCTCAAACACAGGAAACTACCCTAATTCTCATTCATCGTCAGATGGACAGATAAATGTGTATCCACCACACAATGGACTTCTATACAGCCAACAGTATGGATGAATTTCACTAATGTAAGAGAAGCCAGATGCAAAATAATACACGTGGTTTGACTCCATTATGTAGTAGACAAAACTTGGTTAAATAAACCACTGTTCAGAGTTGAGCTACACAACTATGATTATCAATCAAGCATAATAAAGCCTTTTAAAAAATTTTTAATAAAACTTTGAAGAGAGAAAAATGTCAGACTAGTGATTGCCATTGGGGTAGGGGCTGGAATGTTGTGATTGGAAGGGAACAAGAGTGAACTTCTGCTATAAGATTCTTAATCCTGGTGTGCCGTTGGGTGTGGAGTTTGTGAAGTGCTTGAGCTGTATACTGAATAAGAGGAGTTCGTGTATCTTATACTTTAAAAGTTAAAAAAAAAATAGCCCATGCCTTCATAGATCTTATGCGGGGTGGGATTAGTGACTCCAAGATAATATCTCGAGTCCCACCTGAGCACTGAGCCCTAAGAAACACACACTGCTTGCTGCCTGCTGATTTCTCCACCTGGATGTTTGACAGGCGTTTCAATTTGTTAAAAATAGATATCCTTAGTTTCTTTTCTCAAACCTCTTATTCCTCAGTCTCAGTAAATACTACCAACCATGTACTAAAGCCTAAAACCCAATTGTGATCTTTGATGCCTCTTTACCTCATCCTGCAGTGCCATTCAGTTACCAAATTCTACCAACTCACTATACCTGCCCTCCCCCAAATTCTTCTACTTTCCATTTTTGGTCTGAGCCACCATCAGACTGCAAACTTCTGCAATAGCTTCTTGACTGTTGTCCTCTTCAGCTCTCCCTTTTCTTTTGTAAACAGTGCTGGGGGTTGAACCCAGGGTCACATACATGCTAGGTAAAGGTTCTACCATGGAGTTAGATCCCCATTCCAGCTCTTCCCTTCTTAAAATCTCAGTGGTATTGAAAACAAAATGAACTTATCTAAGTCCCTGCTGAAAACCTTCCAGTAGCTTCATATCTGGATTTTCTCTGTACCTGACCGCTGGCCCTCTCTACTCACCATCTGATTGTGTGGTCCCCCCCCCCCCAATTGCAGACCCTCTGGATTCCTGTACTGCCTGGGCCCTTGAATCTCAAGAGCTTAAACATCACCTTAGTGGCTCCTTGTGGCGTGCTTCCCTCACCCACAATGCCCCATGTCAAATTGCCCACACTTTTTATTTTTACCATATTTGATTTATTTTTATTTTTATTTTTGGATAGGGCTGTGTGAAGGTAAGTATCATGAAATGTAGGGCTTTGCTTTTGTGATACACCACTAGAATCCCCAGGACCTAGAACATGTTAGGTTCATTTCACAAACCAGTACAGTACAGTAAAGAGAAAAGCAAGTTTAAGATGTATACACTTACACTATTTTCTATAGGAAAACAATGTGTTCAGAGAAAAAACAATATATTCCAAAATATTAACAAGTTACTTTTAATGGGGAATTACAGGTCATTAAGACTTTTTTACGCTTACTTGTACTTTGTAATGGTTTTACTTTGAATTTGTTCAATGAAGTCTTTAAATGTCTAGTCATTTATACCTGGAGGTTTTGAGGCATAAAGGTGGATTCTAGCAGGTCTTTGAAACAGAAGTGTATATAAAATCGCACTCCTTTCTATTGGAACCTTAATGTCAGAGAACATACCCCCAATAGCTAGTGATCATGTATTTTAAGTTAGTGTTGTACCACTTTCAAGATTTTGAGACTTTTTTTTTTTTTGGTACCTGGAATTGAACTCGGGTCCTTGCGCTTGCGCAGCAGGCGGAGAAACCACTAAGCTAAATCCCCAGCCCTTCCACTTTCAAGATTTTGGACAAGTCTAACCTTTAAAAAGATGTCTCCAGCCATTTGTGGTTGCACAAACCTATAATCCCAGCATTCTGGGAGGCTGAACCAGGAGTCACAAATCTGAACTCAGTTTGAATGATTTAGCAAGACCTTGTCTCAAAATTTTAGAAAAATTTAAAAGGGCTGGGGATGTAGGTTGGTGCAAAGGTTCTGGGTTTAATTCCCAGTACCACCCCAAAAAAGATTCCAGATACATATGCGACCTATATTACTCAATGACAAGTCACTGTTGGCTGTTTGGAAATGATAGTGACCTTCAGTTCCTGAATCCTCTGAAAGTACCTGTGATATTGCATACAGGGACAGGCTTGTGGGTGTGTACTGGTGCTGGAGGTTCTGAATAAAATGCCCAGTTTTCGCTGGATTTCTCTTCATACTGTTCTAACTTCAGGCTAATTCTAACATTCTCCCCAAATTTTCCACCCTCAAACCACATCTCAAATTTTACTTCCTTCTTGCTACTAAATTCACTTGGCACTGTTCATACTAAATTTCCTTCAGGAATTTTTCCTTTGCTATGTCACTTTTATTAGTCTCTCTTCCCCTTCCAAAGCTAATTATTTGAAAGAAATGTCTCCCAATCCAGGATTTAAAATTTCTAACTGTACTGTTAACAGCATCCTGTCATTCAGATTCATTTCTGACAGCAGTTAAACCAACTCCTGAAACTAAAATTAAGGGGAGGAAATGATTGATTACACACAAAATAGTGCAACATGCTCCTCTGGTTTGAAAGCACTGGAAACTTTATTCCCAGTGCGACAGTGTTGGGAGGTGAGTCCTAGTGACAGGTGATCAGACAGAAGGGCACAGAGGATGGGTTAATGCTGGTTCCACAGGAATGCCTGCCCTACAAAAGCATGGCTTCAGCTCCCTTTGTTTCTCTCTCCCTGTTTGCCCTTCTACCATGGGATGATGCAGGAAAGTGGATCATCCAAATGCAGGCCCTTCCATCTTGGGCCTCTGACCCTCAGAACCAGTACCCTTCTCTTCATTATAAATTACCCAATCTCTGGCATTCTGTTGTGGCAGCCAGATGGAGTATGACAAATGCTGATTCAAAATAAATCTGGGGCTGGGGTTAAGCGCTCACCTGCCATGCCTGAGATGCTCAGTTTGATCCTCACCAATGGGAACACTATCACAGCAAAAAGCCATTATGTCTTCCAAGTGTAAAAACTATGGGGACTGGTTTTCAATTTCCAGTGCCAAAATGCAATTATGTAATGAGTAGAACCCTAGAACCTGAAATAAAGATTTTTCACTATTGTTAAATTCTGTGACTTAAACAATTTGAAAATTGCCTAATATATTCTTAGGGTTCTTACGAGAATAATAATGTAAGTTAGACTAGAACAGTAAGCCACAGACTTCTAAATATTTGTTTATTTTTAAATGAACATTAGAATATGACCAGTATAAAAATAGCTTCAGTTAAATGCAAATATATAGAATATATCTTTACACATAGCTGCCTGTTTTTTAATTTTTATTTTATTCCCGGTACTGGGGATCGAACTCAGGACCTTGTGCTTTCGAGGTAGGTGTGGTGCCACTGAGCCAAATCCCTGGCCCCCTGCCCCTCCTTTTTTTCCTTCCCAGGTACAGGGAATCAAACTCAGGACCTTGCGTTTCCCAGGCAGGCGCAGTGCTGCTGAGCTACATGGTGGTGCCACTGAGCTAAATCCCCGGCCCCCAGCTGCCTATTTTTTAAACACTAGAGAATATTTGTCCTGTAAGACTATAAATACCATCATATTTATTAATAACATCAAATTTCATAAAACATTTAAGCAGAAGTCTAGTCTATAATTTTATTATAACTTAATATCAATTATATAAAGATATAAAGCAGAAAACATCAATTTTTTCTTCAGATGGTCTTTAAGAATCAAAAGCCTTGAAGTTTGCTGAAAACAGAAAAAACAAAATTAAATATTTTGGAAACCTAAGTTGTATAGTTCTTTTATATTTAGTTGTAGCTAATTCTAAAAATAGGTCAACATGTATATTGTCCCAAATTTAAAAGGTGACTCTAAAAATGTCTTGCACCCCACTTCTGCTCCCCAGAGGCAGAGTATCTTTATATTTATTTATTTATTTTTTGGTACCGGGGATTGAACTCGGGACCTTGTGCTTGCATGGAGGAACCACTGAGCTAAATCCCCGGCCCGGCAGAATATCTTTATAAAGATAGGCTAATCACAAAAAGGAAAAGGTATATGAACATGTGTGTATGTCAGTTTAATTTTAAAAACGTATATAAGTGGTAGAATATGATGCATACTATTCTTTTTTCAATCTGTACACACTTTATAATTAAGTCCTTTTATGGCTTTGAAATTTAAACAAATTGGTAAAGTTAAGAATAAGTACACATATATAGATATATATGCACATTTAAATTAAACCACATCTACTTTTCTGCATAAGCCCAACTATACCTTTAGGATAAATTCTTAGAAATGGAATCCCTGGTATATACATTTTAGGATTAATAAATCTCAACTTGTTCTTTGTAAAGATCTTTCTTTTTTTGGTACTGAGAATCGAACTCAGGGCTGCACACTTACCAGGCAGGTGCTGCGCCACTGAGCTACATCTCTGGCCCATCTCTAAAGGTTTTTATCATTTTTTGCAGTACACATTTTTTTGTGAAAATATGTATTTCCCTATTACACCACCAATATTGTGTTTTCAAATAAGAGTATTTGAAATACATGCTATATCCCTTAAATATGCACAATTTTTATGTATCAAGCAGAAATAAGCACACATGTTTAAAAAAAGGAAGTACATTTGACATGGCTAAGGGTGCCTATTTTGACTACATTCTGTGGTTAACACCAGTGTGGTTTCACAGCTAGCTAACAAATGGCTGCTTAGGAGAAACTAAGCAGAAAGACCAGATTATATCAATGTATCTTGAAATATTTTTCTGTTCTCCAAAAAATACACATACCATCAACCTGTCTGATCCAGAACTAAAAGGATTCCTCAAATTACTAATACTAAATTTTAGTTTGGGAATTAAGTCTAAGCTTTGCAGCATCTGAGGCCACAGAAGATGAAGGAACCAACTCTCAGTTCAATAAACAGTAGTATCAACTACAAGGCAAGTACTATGCTAGAAACTTAGAACGGACCGGCACCTAAGGACTGTAATAGAAACCAGGCATGGTGGCACATGTCTGTAATCCCAGCACTTGGGAGGCTGAGGCAGGAGGATGTCTCAGAGTTTGAGGCCAGCCTAGGATACACACTTGAGTTCAAGGCCAGGCTGAACTACATAGCGAGACTGTCTCACCAAAAAAACAAAAACAAAACCCCAAACCTAATAGAAATCTGCATAAAGCACACAGAATACAAAACAATTCTGCATAGCTATTATAAGAAATGTAATCGTGGCATGGTAGTGCAAGTCTCTACTCCCAGCACTCGGAGGCTAGGGCACGAGAATTACAAGCACAAGCCCAGCCTGGACAATTTAATGACTTAGTGAAATCCTGTCCCAAAATTTTTTTAAAAAGGACTTGAGCTTTAGCTCAATGGGAAGGTCTTGGGTTCCAATCCACAGTACCATCACCACCGAAAAAACAAAAACAAAAACAAATCAGTTAATTTCCAGTTGTGGTTTATTTCCTAACTCTTTTTTTGTTGCTGTTGGTTTTTGTTTTTTGAGACAAGGTCTCGCTATGCTGTCCAGGGTGGTCTTGAACTCACTATGAAGCCCAGGCTGGCCCCAAACTTAGCAATCCTCCTGCCTCAGCTTCCCAACTCTTTTTAAGTAAAAGAATATAAAATGCTTTGCAGCAATAGATGTAACAAAAAGATAAAAGTAATCAAGGAAATTCAAGTAAAGAGAAAATAAAGGTCAGAAAAAGAAGCCAAAGGTTTATCTGGAAAGTTCTCTGTGGCTGTAAAGGTGGCTACAAACCTGGCTGCGCCTCTCTAGTAACCAAAGCAAAGGAAGGCCTAGATTTAGAGTCTTCCTAAGATAGAATTTAAATGAATAGTGCTCCAGACAGATTTCTCTTGTCCTAAGAGCTGCGGAGAGTTTCCAGTGTAGTTTGCATAGCAGACTAGGTTTTACACCAGATCTCCGGTCAGTAAGTCAGATGATATGGTCCAGGCCACCAGCCCTCAGCAGGGACCCTACCCTGGAGTCTCAACTCCACTATGCTGGGCAGCCAAGAGTGGACAGCAGAGCTAGAGAAGACCGTGTCTCTGCCTAAAACCGTTATCGCTTTTTGTGGTACTGGGGATCGAACTCAGGACCTTGAGCTTGCGAGGCAGGCAGCGGAACCACTCAGCTAAATCCCCAACCCTTTCGCCTTTTTTAAAAGTATATCATGTTGGCTGGATAAAGTCAGCTGTCCAGATTTAAATTAAAAGCTAGAATATCTGCGCTTTTTGTTTTTTAGTACTGGGGACTGAACCCAGGGCCTTCTTACTGTGCTACATTCTGAGCCCTTTTTATTTTTTATTTTGAGACAGGGTGTCACTAAATTTCCCTAGGCTGGGCTGGAATTTTCAGTCCTCCTGCCTCAGGAATTACAGGCATGTGCCACCACAAATATCTTTATAAGAATTTGTTGGCTTATATTCTAAGAATTAAGCAGTGCCTGGAATATAGTTAAGAACCAAATATATAAAGGTATCCCTACTGTTAAACAATGCATGTCTATATAAGAAACTGAGAGGGCCTGGGATTTAGCTCAGTCGTTCCAGCACCTGCCTCGAAAGCACAAGTTCCCGAGTTCGATCCCCAGTACCAAAAAGAAACTGAGAAGCAGAAGTATTTTTCCTTTTCAATTTTATGTTTTTTGTTGTTTTGGTTTTTTTGAGACAAGGCTTATGTGGCCTGGTCTAGCCTTAAACTCACTATGTAGCCCACCCTGGGTGGCAATCCTCCTGCCTCAGCCTCCAGAGTTCTGGGATTATAGAAGTTTGCCACCACGCTTAGCTTAATTTTATACTTTTAAACATTGTTTAAATTTTTTATTATGTATTTCAGTTTAGATGTTTTGGTGTGCTCATTTAAAGAAAAAAAAAAACTTTACTGCCTGACATGGTGGTAACATACCTCTAATTTGAGCACTCTGGAAGGGTGACAAAAGAGGACCAGGAATTCAAACCCAGGGCAGCTTAGTCGCTTATCAAGACCCTGTCTCAAAAATGTAAAAGGGAGGGGGGGATTTAGCTCAGTTGCACCATACCTGTCTCACAAGCGCAGGGTCCGGAGTTCGATTGCTGGTACCAAAAAAAAAATGTAAAAGGGGACAGGGGGACCCTGGGGATATAGTTCAGTGTAAAGGCTCATGCAGGAATCCAAGATAATACTTTAAAAATGCATGTTCCAGGGCTGGGAATTTTGCTCAGTGGCACCACACCTGCCTTGCAAATGCAAGGTCCTAAATTCAAGCCCCAGTACTGAGAAAAAAAATAAAGCATGTTCTTGCCAGGTTTGGTAGCACATGCCTGTAATTCCAGCACTTGGGAGGCTGAGGCAGGAGGATCACTTTGAGTTCAAGAGCAGCTTAGGCTACACAGTGAGTTCAAGGCCAGCCCGAATCAGAGAAAGACCTTGACTGAAAAAAACCTAAAAAAAAAAAAAAAGTGCACGTTCCTGGGTTCTAGTTATCCCTTTGATGACTTTGGGGTAAGAGCCTGGAACTTAATTTTTTTTTTTTTTTGGTACCTGGTATTGAACTCAGGACCCTGCGCTTGTGAGACAGGTGTGGTGCCACTGATCTAAATCCCTGACCCTCATGTAACTTAATATTTTTAACAAGTACCTCAGAGTATTTGATGCAGTGATGTATAGATGACCCTGTGAAAACCACTTTCACCAGGTGACTATTCATTTTCTCTCCTAAGATCTCCTTTCCACCCCAGCCCCTCCCCATCACTATACACACACCCAGCTCCATGACTTCTTTGCTGTTGGTTTGAGGCCAGCACCTGGGCTATGAGAATCAAACATGGGACAGAAGGGCTGACCTCTGGGAAGAGTGACAGCATCCTCGGGAGTCAGCCTAGAAGAACCAGCCCAGCTGCACAGACGGCCTGAGATCCCACTCAGCAAACAGTTCCTGAGTTCAGCACACATACCATCAAGTATTCACTTCTGTGTCACACAGCAGGGCCACAGTAAGTTCAGCTTAGAACATCTCCAGTCAGCTACCACAGGCATTGTTAAAAATCTCAACATACAACTATAGATCATGTGACTTTTAGCACTATGACACCAAGAGGAAACCCTTGGCAGTTTCTGTGAGCACACTTACCTGTCTTCTACTGTCTTGTTGGAAGGATAAAAAACTTTGAATGAAAATCCACTTCTTGGAAAAGAGCCCTTTTGGGAGAAAAATGCTTAAGTGACTTCTCAATTTTTATAAAGTAACCTCTATCTTTTAAATCAAATTCCTTGGTAATGACTTAAAAGTTGCAAGATGTGACTATAAAATATGACAGGTTTTTAAATGATCTTGATTTTTTTTTTTTTGGTACCGGAGATTGAACTCAGGACCTTGTGTTGGCAATGCAGGCCCAGTGCCACTGAGCTAAATCCCTAGCCCTTGGCTAAGTAGTTTCATGCTAACAGATTACCATAAGAAACAGTACTGTGGGGCCAGGGATTTAGCTCAAGTGGTTTTGCCACCTGCTGTGCAAGCCCAAGGACCTGAGTTCGATCCCCAGTACCAAAAATAAATAAATAAATAAAATTAAAAAATATGTCTTTAAAAAAAAAAGAAAAAAAAAAAGAAACAGTACTGTGTAAGGCTGAGATACTCAAAACATCATGTTTGAGTCCTATCTCTTCCTCCAATGAAAATCTGGATTTGATGCCCCTCCAATGCGCCCCCTAGGCAACAGAGTAGTAATCACACATATAATTATGTCTACTGTGAAACTCTCAGGTTACTGAGCAGTGGTTCTGTCTCCAGCCTCCACCCCTAACAGTGTTTGGCTCAGAGGAGGTATTCATTAACATGAGTACCAAGAAGGAATGACAAAGTATCAAAAGCAAGTTCTGTGTCCAAAAGGCATAAAAGTTGCAACAGTGGTATAGAAGGTGGTTGTTTACTCACAGGATTAGAAAGTGGAAAAGTCCAGAAATAAGATATAGTCAAATAGAGCACTGACTATGAGATTACCCAAAATGTTAAGGAAAGTGGCCTCACTGTCACACTGGGCATACTACTGGGCTCTCGTGGACAGAGGCCAGGACATTGCTCACATCCTGCAACGGACAGGACACCCCCACAACAGTGCATTATTTGCTCAAGAGGTCAAAAGTGCCAAGATTGGTAAGTCCTTTCTTAGAGAAAGCCAGATAAAATGAATGTTTGACATGAGTAGTCACCAATAACAAGACATGGCCTTTCTAGAAACAAAGTCTGAAATTCACAGGAATCAAGGAAACGTGAATTAAAAATCACTAGTAAAGTGGTTCTGCTGCCTGCCTCACAAGCGCAAGGTCCCGAGTTCGATCCCTGGTACCAAAAAAAAAAAATCACTAGTAAAGATAATTTTTTTCACATAATCAACTGTGTTTGTCATTGTTTATGTACTATTTATTCTCCAACTTCAAGAAGTCACATCTGTAGAAATTCTGAAGCAATTTCAACATTCTAAAGTAATTTCAAGGTTCTATATAAAAATTAACAAAATCTGTCTGGCAAATGCAAGATCCTGAGTTTGATCCCTGGTTCAGAAAAAATAATAATAACAAAATGTGTCCCAGTGAAATTTCATTTATCAGGCTTGGGCTTGTGACACTTGAGAAATTTCCGAAAGTCACAATCCTCTCAAAGGACAAAAAACATTAATATGGCTAAAGGGAATGAGACACAGGCTCTGCCAGCAATTCCCAGAAAGGAATCTCACAGTCAGTTACTTGAAGAGAATACCCATGTGGATTTATATGTTTTGCCATGCTTTTTTTTAAAAAAAAAAAAAACTTCACATTGTTATAGTCACATCCTATACTATATTATATTTTCATCCATAAATGAAAATTTATGTTTAAGAGCTTTCTATATATACTAAATCAATTCAATATCTTGTTGCTAGTATATTTTCTATCACATATTTAAAATTGAAATGCACTGTACTCTTAGTAAATAATGACTACATAAGGTTAACTACATTCTTACGGGGTTTATGCAGAGGCATTCGGTATTGGTCACGGTGAAAGGATCGTATTTGTCTGCAATGACAAGTAGGTCAGGCACAGGATACACTCTCAAGGCATAGTCATAGGCCCAGTGCACTGGGCAGACATAAAGAGGCAGTGGCGTCAGATGGCCTTGGGAGAAGACAGTCTTCACAAACTACAACAGAACACAACACAAACCCAACTTCACTTCATCTGGAGAAGTGAGAACAGCTAAACAATTTCAAATTAAATATTAATTACCAAAAGGATCTAAAAATTTTGAGAAATTAGGGTATGTTTTGAAGTACAGAGCTTTGGAAAATAGTGATATAAAATGAAATTAACTGGCTAATTAATTAACTTTAGGAAAAAAAATTCCGTGAGTTTTCATTTACTGTCAGACACCCTAACAGTGACTCTCCCAAATAATCATGTAAGATTGACTGTACAGAGAGCTATATAATAAACTTTTTTGGGGGTAGGACTGGGTATCAAACCCAGGACATTCTCGAGCTACATCCGAGTCCTTTTTCATTTTGAGCCAGGGTCTCAACAGGTTGCCCAGGCTGAGCTCAGATTTTGAACCCTCCTGTCATGGCCTTCCAGAGTACTGAGATTACAGTGTGTGGCACCATACCCATCTTACAATAAACTCATTTACTAACTTTGTCCATCAAAAACTTTCAGGGCCAGGGATTTAGCTCAGTGGTGCCACCACCTTCCTCACAAGCGTGAGGTCCTGAGTTCAATCCCCAGTACCAAAAAAACCCCCACACTACTTTCATAGCTTGAGTACATAGTATATATACTATATATAGTAGCATACATAAATTTAAAATATTATAAAATGAATGACAATAATGTTCTGTAGAACCCACTTCCCAGCTTCTCAGATGGAGGTACATGTAACTAGGGATTGACAATTACATGTCAATGACCCTGGAAATACAAGATAAACACTACACAGCCGCCTCCTTATGTGTAAATACCATACCAAACACATAATATACATGATAAATAGGAACATTTTGTTAAAACAAACATGCATATATTTTGAAGAACAATTTAAGAGCTTTAAAGGAGAAATTAAGAGATTTTTAGAATTCCATCTGTATGGGGCTTTCTTTTCTGCCCATAAGAATTCTTCAGTAGAAAGCAAAGAAGCCCTGACTTACTGACAAAATTTCACTTACTCACAAAAATATAACCCATTATTTTGAAGACCAATAAATATCATATTACTGGTTTTAAAAAACTGTGTATATGGGCCAGGGATTTAGCTCAGTGGTTCCACCACCTGCCTTGTTAAGTGCAAGGTCCTGAGTTCGATCCCTGGTACCCCCCCCCAAAAAAATTGTGTATAAAGGCTGAGCACGGTAGCATATGACTGTAATCCTATCATTTGGGAGGCTGAGGCAGGAAGATTCCCATGAGTTCAAGGCCAGCCTGAATTACATAACAAGATCTTATCTCAAAAAACCAAAAACAAAATTGTGTATAACGTAACATGAAAGATAGTTTAATAAAGAAGACTTTGCTTACATGATTAGGAATATCCAAATTGCTACTAGGAAAATGGACACAGTTTCTGCACATTTTATTCACCAAGTCTTCACGAAAGATAATAATTTCTTGTGTACAATACTGAATTCTGAAATGAAAGAAATTGAACTTGATTTCCTCGGAAAAAATATACAATAAAAGAAGAGAAGCGGGGAGGCTGGGGGTGTTGCTCAGCGGTAGAGCAGTACCTAGCGTGTGCAAGGTCCTGCATTCAATCCCTAGCTCCGTGAAAAGAAGAAAACCAGATAATTTTAAAGGCAAATGCCTTATGATACAACGCCATCCTCAACCCCTGCCATTCGCCACAGAAAAAACTCAACCAGTCTGTTTATCCAGTTATTTACTGAGCAGCTAATAAATGCGGGGCACTACTCCAGGAATGCGTGAACAGAAGATCCCAGTCCTGATGCAATTTACAGTTTAATGAGCGGATAGAGAAAATAAACAACAAGCATGCTAATTGTATGACAGGCTGTAGGGAAGATGATGAAGTATAAGGGAAGGAGAAAAAGGTCGTCTAGACAAGGACTAGAAGGCTGCTGTATCAAACAGAATGACTGGAACCGCAGGGGCAAGGGGTGTGGCCCGAGCGGGGGGGGGGGGGCACTTAGAAAGGCTCGCTGAGACTGCAGTGCGCCTGCGCGCTTCAGGAATGGGGCTGCTGTGACTAGCAATTGGGAAGGCGCGATTGGAAGCGGGACTCAAAGTTCTCTTTGAAGCTGTCAGTTGGCCATCCAGAGGAGAGGAGGTGCAGTGACCCCGGGGGCCAGGTGTCTGGGGTCCGTGAGAAAGGTGCGGGCTACCAGAATGAATGTGGGAGTTGCCAATTCAGAGATGATACTTCCCTATTTGTAAATCTCTGCCCTTTGGTTACGCTTCTAAATTTGCTGCACGTGAATTTTTAAACACAGTTAATATATTTTCAAAGTTTTGAGAAATCTAAAAACAAATTTTAACTTATTCTATAATGGTCAAAAATTCAGAAACAATTTGAAACATGAAGTGAATATTTACATGAAAGGAAGAAAGTATAACACAAAACATTAATATTTACCTGCAGGGGTTAGTAGTAAAGACTGAAAATGGCACCCGTTGTCTGAATTCATTAGTGATGCTTTCCGCAAGTGGCGGCCTATAAAAAGTGTATGTGTTATGATACGTACTTTGCAATTTCACAGAATGTTCTTGACCATTGCAAAAATCTGAGTGAAAGTTACCTTGGTAAAATGGAACCAAATCCAGGATCCTCTGGACCAGGCACGAATACAAAACGACTACTGCAGCGAAATTCAATATAATTTATTTAAAAAGTAATATATGGTGACACTATTCAGTATTTTAAAAACTCTCTTTAAATGAATCGTGAGTTTTCAAAAAGTTTTTCATTTTATACATTTCAGTAAGCTAAGTCTCCAATAGTGTCATGACAGGAATGTTCTCTATTTGCACTGTCCAGTTATCAAGTGCTTCAACTGTGGCCAATGTGGCAGCTGGGCTGAATTTGAAATTTTATTAACTTTAATTAATTTAACTTTAAAGAGATACACATGCCTATGTAACTATTATATTGAAGGACAAATAATGTCACCACAAAATATGGTTAAAATTATCAGTATCCCCTTTAATACTTTCCACTATAAATCTATAGAATAGTGTTTAACATACAGTATTTTGAGGCAAGACCATCTTTTTTGGGGGGGTACCGGGGATCAAACTCAGGTCCTTGAGTTTGCGATGTAGGCGGCAGAACCACTGAGCTAAATCCCTGGCCCTAACATACAGTATTTTGATGTGAGTATACTTTCATCTCTTAGCTCTTTCAATTTTCTCAACTTTCTTTTTTCTTTTGAGACAGGGTCTCACTTTGTAGTTCAAGCTGGTCTTGAACTCATGGCAATCCTCCTGCCTCAGCCTCCCAAGTGCTGGGATTATTGTCATGCGCCACCACACCCAGCTTCTATTAGTTTCTTTCTTTTTTTTTTATTAGTTTCTAAAAAATCACTGATACAAGTTTTAGAATTCACTTTTTGTTTTTAAAAATAAAACTATTTGAAAAAACATGTAGCAGGAGATCATTACCTTTGGTGAATATTTGGATATTCACATATTATGTCTGCCAAAGTTTTTAGGGAATCTAAAAATTTAAAAAGATATTAAATTTAATTTGGATATAATGTACACAAAGTCAAATTACATTTAATTAAATACAACCCTACCTCTTTTGAATGAGATTAAATTATAGTTTCTTATTGAATTAGTTTATATTTATATAGAAACATTCTTAAAACAGAGTCTCAAGCCAGATGTGGTAGAACATGCCTGTCATCCCAGCACTCCAGAGGCTGAAGCAGGAAGATGTTCATGAATTCAAGGCTAGCCTGAGCTACATAATGAGTTCAAGGCCAGCCTGAACTACATAGCGAGACACTGTGTCAAAAGACAAATAAATAAGAATGAATGCATATATAAATAAAGCCTCAATACCTTTCAAAGCCTGAATTTGATTTTTCCCATATGGTGCTGATGAAAAATTACCACACAGAATAAAGCAGGTTGGAGGTACTGGTGAATAACCTAGAAAATAAAAAAAATTTTAAATCATTTTTCTCATCTGGTAATCGTTTAAAACTCTGTAACTGTAAGTTTTTCTTCTTGTTATCAAACAGGGTGTCATTACATTCCCCAGGCTGGCCTCTAATTCATGGACTCAAGTGATGCTCCTGCCTCAGACGTCTTCTCAAGTAGCTGGGCCTACAGATGTGCCACTGTGCCCAGTTTTTCAAGATTTTTTTCCCCCACAATGCTGAAGATCAAACTGAGGGCCTCCCACATGCTAGGCAAGTCCTCTACCATTAACTACACCCTTATCCCCTGATCATGTTTTTAGTAAGTTATTATCTTATTAAAATAATAGTAACAATAATGCCCATTTGTTGAGCACTTATTATATGCCAGACCTTGCAGTGGTTTCATTAACCCTCAGAACATCCCTCCAAACTGAGGCTTAGAGGTTAAGTAACCTGCCCCAGCTATGAGGTAGGCACTTAAACACAGTGCTATTAAATTCCAAAGGCCAAGCCCTCATCCACTGTCTTTAGTTATACTACGCTTAGGACTCATTCTAATGTGTCATGAATATGCACACATATATACAGTTATTTTTCAAATGTAAAGATGTAAGTCTTTAAACTTTTCTTTAAAAAACTCATTTTTGGGCCGGGGATTTAGCTCAGTGGTTCCGGCGCCTGCCACGTAAGCACAAGGACCTGAGTTTGATCCCCGGTACCAAAAAAAAAAAACAAAAAAACACCTTATTTTCAGTTTTGTTTTGTTTTTTTTGTACTGGGGATCGAACTCGGGTCTTTGTGCTTGGGCAGCAGGCGGCTCTGAGCTAAATCCCCGGCCCCTCATTTTCAGTTTTTAAAAAAAATAGAATATTAAAAAATGTACATTTTAAAAAAGAATTTAGTTTTTTCATTTTGTTTTGGGACAAGATCTCGCTATGTTGCCCAGGTTGGCCTCGAACTTGTGGCTTCAGGAGACCTTCTGCCCCAAGCCTCCTGAGTAGCTGGGACAGACATTTGCCACCACCAAGAATTTACCATTAAAACACTCAACACAGTTCAAATCAAGAATGGAGAAAGTTGGGCTGGGGATTTAGCTCAGGGGTTCCGCCACCTGCCTCGCAAGCGCAAGGACCCGAGTTCGATCCCTGGTACCAAAAAAAAAAAAAAAAAGAATGGAGAAAGTAATACTCACCAGAAAACATTGTGTGAAGTTTTTCCAACACTTCTACTTGGTCCAACCAGACATCAGATATAAACACAAACATGGCATCTTTGTTCTCATCTTCGAGTTGTTTTAGTTTTGCAGAAGTCTTTACAGATATATTAGAAGGCCCTCCAAAAAAATTAATATTTCCATAGTATGCCCTATGTAATTATAACATAATTATTGTCTTCCACCTTATATTCTCTTCACCAAGAAATTACAATATGCTGAATGTCACAAATCATGCAATAACACACGGAACACATGGGAAATGCTGACTGCATATTATTAAATTAAAAAAAAGAAAAACCAGGTTACGAAGGAATGCCCAGCATGCATCCCTTTATTGCACTCAAAAAGGAGGACAGAGATCTCCACCCCCACCCGGCCCCTGCACTGCAGCTTCCTGAACTGCTACCCTACACCACCCCTTGATTCCCTTAATGAGGTCAAAGAATAGGGCAGTGTTACCTTGTCCCACCTCCACTGGGACCACATATCTGGCAATTCAAATTATTCATTGTGTCTGCGACATAATCACTGTCTTCTATCTTACATTCACTTCACCAAGAAATTATGATGCCTACAGCACTGTGGGTTTAGATAGATTTTAGCTAGAAGCCATGAGTAATGAGAGTCCATTTATATGCACACTATATGTGTGTTTACATGTGTATATATGTGAAGTACTTGTAATAATTTTTCTGTTTGACAGAATTAAAGGTAATATATATTTTTTTGGTACTGGGGATTGAACTTGGGACCTTGGGCTTGTGAGGCAGGTGCCAGAACCACTGAGCTAAATCCCTGGCCCAGTATTCCTTTTCTTTTCGGTGTCTTTATTATATTTCTAAGTTGCTTTTTTCCCCATCATGGACTGCATTAATTATCAAATTCCTATAGTGTTTATTTACATCAAACATTTTACTACCTGGTAGTACTCGAGGGCTCAGTGGGTGGAAACCCAAAGGCATTGACATGAAACACTTGATCTTCAAACCAACCTAAAAAGAGATGAGACACAATCACTTCCACTTGTCCAACTCTCTTTCTAGTTTTCAAGGACAAAACTGTTATACAAAGTAAAACTGCTAGGCTACAGTCCATGCCCTGTGAACTAGCTATAGAATCTCCCAATCCCACTGCCCCACATTTAACAACTTAAGAGCTGTAGTCTAAATTCTATAAATAAAAGTGCATTAAATAGAGACTCCAAAGTAAAACTTTCTTTTTTTGGTGTTGAGTATTATACTTTTTAATTTCATACTACATGGAGTACAGAGAAATTAGATATATATACATACTAGAAAATATTTCATTTTATGACCCAATTAAAATCTAACAGGTTTTTTCTAACTTTATTGAGCTATAGTTCACATACCATTCAATTCATCCTTTAAAAGCGTAAATTCAGAGGTTTTTAGTACATCTACAAGTTGTTATCCCTACTGGTTTCAAAACACATTTATCATCCCAAAAGGGTTTCTATTTGCCTGTCAGTCTGAGTTATGTTATGTCGTCAAAAATATGCCATCACAATCAGTGGTCTCCTAAATTATATCACGTGAACATATCTCACCCAGTGTAGAAATGGCTTCACTGTTTCACAGTGGAAACAGGAAAAGAGTATACTGACTCACCTTCTGCCAGGACAAAGCACGCCTCTGTGTATAAACCACTATGGAACTGGTGCACAGCTGCTGAGGAAAACTGTTCTATTTCTGTGCTTGAGGCAGTGATAAAATCAACACATTTTTTTTTCTTTAGTTGTGCCAGGAATCAAACTCAGGGCCTTGTGCCTCCCAGGCAGTCATTGCACCGCTGAACTATATCCCTGGCCCTCAACACACTGTGAGCCCAAGATTTCTAAATAATAAATTCAGACTTCATGTGTGAAATTGTGAACAGCATAAACCATAACTTAGACAATTTTAGTTTTTAATGTCCCCATGTTTACTTTAAGATGCAGTTTGGTAATACTGACAGTTTAGATCATTCTTAGCATATTATAAACTTCCTCGGTGATCTACCTGAATTCTCCAAATAATCAGGATTCAAAGTCCTTTTGTCTCTGTTTAGGATTCTATCTGTTGTCTTACACTAACACCATATAGAGGTTACCCTGGGAACCCAAATAGGTATGTTTGACAGTCATGTAGAATCACTTTCTCTAATTTATGTAATACAGATTTCACAAAGTAAAGGGGGCGGGAGTGGTGGCATATGCCTGTAGTCCTAGTGACCTGGGAGGTGGAGGCAGCAGGGTCCCTAAGCCTAAAAATTGGAGACCAGCCTGGGCAACACAGCAAGAACCAGCCGCAGAAAACAGCACAACAAAAGTGAAGGATATAGCTTTATTAAGATCCAATTGTACTGTTCCAGTAGGATCTTCCAAAAAAAATTTCCCCTAAAACAGAATTAAAAGAAATATATACACGTTTTGTAAAAATAATTAAAATATTAACAAGTTTGACAGAAGAAGACAAGAGAAGAACAAATTTTTAAATATCAACAATTCGAAGCCCAGGATTTTCTACTAACTACAGTAGTTCAGTGACCTCAGACTAATGAGTTAGGTGAGTAATGAGAATTGTCACAGCATCCTGAGGAATGGTTCTTCTGCAGCTCAAGAGGTGGCCAGATGCACCAAGCCGGCTGCAACAGGACAGGAGGGCCTCCCCTGGTGCCTTCATCTAAGAGAGCTGCCAGCCACCTCGGCACCAGGATGTGGTCTGCTTTCGGCTCTCAGTTCAACCAGAGGACCCTGGAAGCTAATCTCAGGCTATGCAAACTGAGTGCATGGACAAGAAATCCCTTCCTTATGTCTACTCAAGAAACCAAACACGGGTCCAAAGGTCACTTAGTGTGTGAGGTGAGAGCTTTCAATGAAGAATACCTTCCTGTGGAAAAGCTCTAGGGCACCAGCATTTCACCACTCCAGCCTGAAAATAAAGTCTGCGCTAACTGAAGTTTAACTTACCTCTTTTAACTGGGTTATCATTCCAAGAACAATCACATCTCCGATTTTTGTTGTACTACCCAATAAAGTTTCTACTGTTTTAAGCTAAAATAAAGCACAAAAAATTCTTGAAGATTAAAAAGAGCATTTTTTTTTTTTTTTTTGGTGCTGGGGATCGAACTCGGGTCCTTGCACTTGCACAGCAGGCGGCGAAACCACTGAGCTAAATTCCCCACCCAAAAAGAGCATTTTTAAAGAAACTAATTTTGTATACACATTTTGGTATTTACAGCTACTTAACAGTAGAAAATCAAATAAAACTTAGAAAGTTTAAGTTTATTTACAAAAGCTAAGATACCACATTCATGATGGGCTGAAGAATTATGCCTTAAAAAAACACTATATAGGTGCTCAGTGGTTCCGCCGCTTCAGGTGCAATGTCCTGAGTTTGATCCCAGGTATCAAAAAACCCAAAAAACCAAAAACACTATATCAACTCAAGCCTTTACCAGTGACTAAAACTTCATGACATTTCATTCTAAATTAGTACATTTCCTTTTAAAAATATTAAAAATACCAATTTTATTTTATTGTATCAGTATCTATCAAAAATTAGTGAGCTTTAAAAGTTATATTCTAATTTTATTTAGTATATTGAACAGTTGTCATTATCATTTACATTCTCCATCTAACTATTAGTCTTAGCAGAAAGTTAAAATAGTAACAACTGGGACATCATTTTTTTAAAAATTCAGTTTTTTCTTTGTATATCCCTAAATCTGTGTAAATAACACACATCCATACAGTTAGCCATCTATGTCTGTGGGTTCCACTTCTGTAGATTTAAGCAATTTCAGATCAAAAATAGTTGAAAAAAGGGCTAGGGATTTAGCTCAGTGGCACCGCACCTGCCTTTCTAACCCAAGGTCCTGAGTTCAATCCCTGGTACCAAACTAAAATAAAATAATAGTTGAAAAACTTTGTGTTTGAACATATACAGGCTTTTTATTTTTCTCATTATTCCCCAAACAATGTAGTATAACATTTATGGTGTTTACACTGAATTAAGTATTATAAGTAACCTACAGATGATTGATTGTTTTTTGAGATAAGGTCTCGATATATAGTTCAGACTGGCCTTGAACTTTCAGTGATCCTCCTGTCTCAACCTCGAAAGTCCTGGGATTACAGGCATGCACCACCACAGCCAGCTAGAGATGATTTGAAGTATACAGGAGGATATGTGTAATTATATGCAGCTACTGTGCTACATTCTGTAAGGGACTTGCACATCCATGGGTTTCAGTACCCTCAGGGAGGGGTGTTGGGACCTTCCCCAAGATAATGATGGATGACTGTATCTGATCTCTCATTTCACCAAATGCCTACTAAAAACCAGTTAAGTTGTTCCCAGTTTTCTGCTAATAAAAACAATGCTTAATATTTCTGTGCATATTTCTTGGCACAATGCATGGGTATAACTTCTACAAATTCCAGAAATGGAACTGCTGGATAAAAGGGTATACAATTTTTCATTTGCATAGAAATTACCAGGTGCAGCTTTTTATTTTTACCATTCTATTTCTTTTTATTACAAACAATCCATGCTTACTATAAAAGAAATTTAGAAATACAGATAAAGAAGAAATCTAGACATACATAATCCCATCATCTAACCAGGCGTGGTGGTGCACGCCTGTAATCCCAGCACTGGGGAGGCTGAGGCAGGAGGATTGCTATGAGTTTGAGGACAGCCTGGGCTACATGGTGAGTTCAGGGCCAGCCTGAACTACAAAGGGAGACCCTGTCTCAAGAAACAAACAAACAAAAAAATCCCATCATCCCCTATAATCACTGTTAATATTTAATAATAGAGTTCCACTTAAAAAACACAAACCTAAAGCAAGAGAGGACTGAAACTTGGCAGATTATTTCCAGTTATACCATATTTGTAGTCTGTCAAGGGAGATTACTGTTCAGCTACTATAAATGTATTTAAATAGGGAATGTACCATGACAGATACAGAATTAAACCAAAAGACTGAAAAGAACAATAAATTATTCAGGTAAGCCTCAACATTACTTTGTCAAAGAGGAGAAAATAAATGCTCCCAATCAATGGGCATCTGAGCTGCCACAGGAACATAATATACAGGAGAAAAAGAGAAGTCTTTGGTAGGGTGATATATAAATAATGTCAATTTTCTCCTTCTTTCTTTCTTTCTTTTCTTTGTTTTTTTTTTTGAGACAGGGTCTCACTATGCAGCTCAGGTTGGCCTTGAACTCACTGTGTAGCCCAGGGTGACCTTGAACTCAGGGTGATCCTTCTACCTCACCCTCCCAAGTGCCAGGATTAAAAGGATGCACCACTATGTCTGGCTCAATAATGTCAATTTTCAAATGTTAACCCAATTTCTATTCTAAGAGCAGTTAAAAGAAACTGTCAAACACTATCTATGTTTTCTCCCTCCAGTGCTGCCCTCACATACTAACTTGAACTTTACAGGGTATCAGTGTTTCTAACAGACTGCTTATCATGAGTTCTGATCTACCGTGGTAGAGAAGTAATGAATTAGAAGAGTCTGGGCCTTTTCAAAGCCTCACGGAACAGGTGGGCCCAGAGCAGAAGCAGCAGGGTTCTGAGGGCCAGTGAGGAAGGGCAGAGCCGAGGAAGGGCAGAGCCATAGAAGGGCAGCCAGCGGCCAGCCGTGTTGCTGGAACAACAGTAGAGCGGTCTAGTAACTGCTTTCCGAAGTATAAGAATATAAAAGGGAAAGGAGCACATAGTTCTCATCTTTTTCACCAGAAAATATTTTCCCCTTTTCCTCTATTCCTCAGGATTCTACAACTCTAGGCCAAGAAGTGGTCTTGCATTCATTCTATAAATGCTTCCTTAGTGTCTTCTTTTGTTTGTTACTGTTGTTGTTTGTTTCTTGTTTTTTCTTCCTTGGGTGCTGGGGATTTAATCCAGTGTTTCCTTAGTACCTTAAGCAAAATTTTCACTCCATATGAGGGAGCATGTTTTAGCTGAACAAGTATGCAAGTGTGTGGTGCTTGTCACAGGGATGGCAGGGACTAGTGTTTTGTTAGAGGAGAGAAGGCAGGAAGGGTAATGTTGGGAAGTTGGCCAGGAAGCCAGCGAAGTAGCCGGAAAATGGGACTAGGAACTGTCTGGGAGGCCAGCAGGTTTCTGGAGATGCCCTGGCATTAGAAGGAAGCAGTAATGTTGGGAATAATTCTACATAATTTGGGGGGGGAAATCATTTCACAATTAAAATTATGATTAGGCCTAGTTTTCCTGCCTACAGGCCAGCTATGGCATGATGAGACATAATTCCATTTTTGTCTCCAGTCACAGCTAAAACCTCAATGGCCCAGTGATGCTGTGATGCTCCAGGGCAGGATTACACCTGCTGGTGACATCCTGGGGAGGAACAAAATCTTCATCAGTTACATTTGTTACTCCAGATGTACCAAACCTGCGGTCCTCTGAGTCACCTGTTACATGTTACTCCTGATGTACCAAATAAAGGTGTGATAAGCTCGGGCCTTTTGTCTTTGCTGCCCAGAGAAGCACTGATGAGGCCCAAAACTGAACTTCTTCTCTAAGTCTCATTTTTCTGTCTTTTCTGTCTAATTAATTAATTTGCCTTGTGTTATCGTGGCTCAAAGGAGACTAGGACTTACTGCAGGTTCAAGTAACATCCCTTTTCCTGTTCCCTACACAGTAACTTCTGTTAGATTTCAAGACAAAGGGCACTGGGCATGGGCTTTCTTAACAATAGGCACATAGCCAGACCAGTCAGCTAAAGTGCAGCAGTTTATTTTCACTTAGAATTCAGTAATAAATATTAAACTTGTATACTTACAACCCCTCAATAATTAGGATAATGTTCTAACCTGGAATTTGCCTCCGATTTCATTAGGGTGAGAACCGATCACTGGAGGAGTAAATAATTCATGACGGTGGGTCCTCTATAAAAAAAGTCACATGAATTACTGAAGCAGACATTTAAAACTAAGATTCATTAAAATAGTGAAAAGATCAAACACTGGCTATAAATTGTTACTGTTACCTATTCTCTACAAATTTGAAAATGCATATAATTCAACAACATACTATGTCTAGTAAAATAATATTAGAAATTGAAAAATCATTAAAAAGTTGAGCACTGAGGCCAGTGAAAAGGAAGTGCTACCACATAACAAGGTATTGTGAGGCTGTACTGGGTGAGGGGCCAAGGCGCATCTGGAAAAGATCCTAAGTGATAAATAAAACTGGGCCAGTAAGAAACAAAAGAAGGCTGAAACAAGACATTTCAGGCAGAGAAATGGGTGTGTCCAAAGAAGTATAAGAAGAAAGGAGCTGGGGAAACTGCAGTTTAGTGTCATGAAATTGTGTTGTAAGGTGCACAAGATAGAATGTCAGACAAGGCAAGAAACTAGGAAGAGCAACTACCAGGGGAATCAGCCCTCCCTCCCTCCCAATCTGTACAGTTTAGGTCCCTCCTTCATAGACCACCACTTGAGGCCTAGAGAATAAAAGTACTCCATCTTGGCCAGGGACCAACGCAAGGATAAGCAAGTGCTTCAAGCTAGACCAACACAAGGCGCACTGGGCTTTCGCTACAACTACTGAGGAAGAGAAGAGGAACTCTTTCTGAGGCTTGGTAAGGCTGCTAGTACAATTTTTATCACTCTGTAGCAGGCACTTATTGGAAAGTACAATTACTAAAAAGAGCTGGGCTGAGAAAGACAGATGCTCCATGACACTGTGAGCACCTGGACCCAGTCATCCTTGAAACCAGCAGATCGCTAGACTTCTCATTCACTCATGCTAAGCTAATATATTCCTTTTTCAGTTTTAGTCAGTTTGACTTGCTCTAACTTCAAACTAAAAGAGCCCTTATAATACAGATGTTCCATCCCAAGCCAAGGAATTTAAATTTCGACAACAGAAAACAAAGATTTTGAAGTAGGACAATGATAAAATCAAATTTGTTTTCAGGTTAATTGCAGTGAAAATATGAATGGTCTGAAATTCAACCTTTTCACGGTACAGGTGAGAAAAATGAAGCCCAGACGGGCTAAATCACATACCCAAAACAATGTAGCACTTTGAAACTTTTTTTTTTTCTTTTGAGACAGGATATCACTATGTGGTTCAGGCTGGCCTTGAACTCACTATGTAGCCCAAAAGCTCACAGCAATCCTCCTCCCTCAGTTTGTCCCGTGCTGGGATTAAACACATACAACAAATACAGCACTTAAAACATTTTTGAAGAAAGAAACGCGGAGCCAGGTGTAGTGGCACTTGCCGGTTATCTCAACACTTGGACAGCTGAGGCAAGAGGATCACTAGGAGTTTGAGGCCAGCCTGGGCCGCATAGTGAGATCCTATTCCAAACAAACAAACAAAAAGAAATGTGGTATGTAAGAACCACTGTGAACTGGGAGTAGTTCCGCATGCCAGTAATCCCAGAACTCTGGGAGGCTGAAGCAGGAGGGTCATTAAGTTTGAGCCCAGCCTAGGCAACTTAGCAAAACCCTGTCTTAAAATAAAAATAAAATTTTTAATGGGCAAGGGATGTAGCTCAGTGCAAAGGACCTAGGTTCAGTCCCCAATACAACAACAACAACAAAGAAAGCACTGCACCAAACCAAGGCAGAAATCAAGAAGGAAATCAAGAAGGGTTTCAAGGGCCGGGGATTTAGCTAAGTGGTTCCACCGCCTGCCTTGCAAGCACAAGGACCCGAGTTCAATCCCCAGTACAAAAAAAAAAAAAAGAAGGGTTTCAATACAGAGGAATCTGAGGACCTTCCAAAATGAGCAAGGTTTCACAGTAACATCAGAGGGAAGAGCAACCAACAGCATAAACAAAGTTACAGAAGAAATGGAAGGCTGGGTGTGGTGCTCATGCCCTAACCTCAGCACTCTGGGAGGCTGAGACAGAAGGACAGAAGTTCCAGCACAGCCTGGAAACATCAAAATACAAAAAAAAAAAAAGGACTGGGGATGTAGCTCAGTGCCAAGGTCACTGAGTTTTCTCCCAGTAGCCACTCTGCTCCAAATCCCCTATTTCATTTTTGGCTCCAGCACAGAATGACCAGAGGAAAAGAGACTAGGCCAAAATGTATGGCAGACAATGTCAAATATTAAAGATACTTTGTATTGGGCCAGGGATTTAGCTCAGTGGTTCCGCCGCCTGCCTGGAAAGCTCAAGGTCATGAGTTGAATCCCCGGTACCAAAAAAAAAAAAGATACTTTGTATTTAATTCAGCAGCAGTAAACTTCCTTGAAATGCTCTATGCGAAAGAAACCATGAGAGAGCAGTTACACTTCAGAAGGTGGCGGTGGCCACCTTGTGCACGGCCACAGAAGCAGCAGAGAACAGTGCGCACCACGCGACCCTTCCCCTGCGCAGAACCCGTGTTGCACAGTGACACTCAACACAGCCCCGGTCCCAGGCTGCCCGCTCCGCGCCCTCCTCCTCTCAGCTCTCTGAATCTACCCGGATCCCTCTCCTCAGCGCCAGGTGCACACTTCGCTGTGCCCTCCTAGCGACCTTACCGCCAATGCTTCAAACAGAACCTGTCACCGATTTCTACACTCTCTTTTTCCTGTTTCACATATTGACATTTTCTACCGTTCTGCTTTCTCAAACTCAAAGCCTTTTCATCGTTTGATTCTTGACCCTCTGCCTTCTCCCTTGCCCCCAGTCGCTCACCGTGCCATGGTCCCCTCTGCTCCAGAGCTGCCCCTTCCCACCCTGCGCCCACTTCCTCCCCACGCTGCCCTTAGCTAGGATGATGAGTACCGCAGCGTCCTGTCAGCCTGCTCTCCAGTCTGCTTGCTCCTCAGCCCAGCCGGAGCGAGTCTCCAGGCTCACTGCACCAGGACCACAAAGCCCTGGTCCGGCTCCCACTGCCCTCTCCAAACTGAGCCAAAGCCACTCCTGCTGCTCAGCATTTCCTGTGGGAGCCCGGTTTTTCTGTTACCTCCCACTTCTATCCACCTCCGCCCCTCAGGGGCCACTGTCCTCGGCCTGCTCTGATTCTTCCATCAAAGGCGCCCTGCTGCCATCTCTCCCACAGCACACATACGTCTCTGCTCCCCTAAAAGGCCGTACACTGAAGACCAGGGTAGGCAGAGGCTGGGCGTGAGTCTCACAGAGTGGATTCAAATCCTATCTCCACCTCTTAGATGGGATCTTTGGGCAAGTTACTAAACCTCTCTGGGCCTCAGTTTCCTCGTAAAGTAAGGATAATGGTAGCATTTATACATCTATTAAGTATTATAGGAGTACACGAGGCAAATAATGTAGGTTAAGTGTTAAATACAGTACCTGGCATATCAAAACAATGTATTAAATGCCAGCTACTTTTTAAAAACTCATTTTATTGGGCCAGGGATTTACCTCAGTGGCACCTCACCTGCCTTGTCCCGAGTTTGATCCCTGGTACCAGGAAAAAAAAAAATTACTTTATTAAGGGTGCTCTTGGGGTGGGGGTGGGGGGTACCGGGGATCAAACACAGGGTGCTCTACCACTGAGCTACATCCCCAGCCCTTTTTATTTTATTTTGAGACAGGGCCTTATAAGTTGCCCAGGCAGGGCTTGAACTTGCAATCCTTCTGCCTCAGCCTCCCAAAATGCTTGGATTACAGGTGTCTGCCACCACACCAGGTTTAAAGGGATTATCTTCTGCATCTCTATATTCCCTATATAATGTCAACTGCAGAGAGTCCAGTAACAGTCTACTGAATAACCAACTCGGGACTACATAATTATTCTATCCTTTCAATATCCCTAAGATGTTCGGAAGCAGAGTCTGAGTTACCTGCTATTTTCCTTCTCTAACTTACCTGATGTAAAATGGTGTATCGTTCACGATACAGCTCTGCTTTATCTCTTGCTGTTCCAAATAAATTTGGTGCAGGGTGATCAGTCATTAACAGACTAAAAAAAAAAAGGAATATCCATTTTTACTATCATAAATACACAAGAAGGCTAAAATTGAAACACTAGATTGTACATCTTTTGAAGAAAAGGTACATTTGAAATTAATTTAAAATCAAGAGATGGTATACTTACGGGAGAAATTTTTTTCTTTCTGAATTGTACACAAAGCGAGGAACATCAAAAGCTCCTATGATATTGAAAATATGCTCTCTGAAAAACATCCCGCAAAACAGATCTGATTTACTAAAATGTAAGTATTCACACTGCATTATAATTCTACATCACATATAACCTACTTTTCATATTTTCTCAAGCCACATATACAATTTCTCTCCCTCTCCTTCCTTCCTTCCTTCCTGTATCTAGGATTAAATCTAGGGCCTAACACATTCTAGCACTCTACCCCTAAGCTGCATCCCTAACACTTTTTATTTTATTTTATGAAACAGGGTCTCAATAAATAGCCCAAGCTACTCTTGAACTTACAAACTTACAACCCCTCTACTTTCAGCCTTCTGAGTAGCTGGGGTGACAGGCATGCCACCACCATAACAATCTACTTCATAATTTCTTATAATGTCAAAAACAACATGGAGATAAAGGTTTAGCTTGTGCATTCTCCTTTCAAGAGACAAGAAAGCATTCTCAACACTCTCAAAAAAAAAAAAAAAATCAATCAAGTTAACTTCTAATTAAGAATCTATCCAAAGGGCCGGGGATTTAGCTCAGTGGTTTCGCCATCTGCTATGCAAGTGCAAGGACCTGAGTTCGATCCCCGGTACCAAAAAAAAAATAATAATCTTTCCAAAAAGAAAACAAAAAAAACCTCATCTTGAAAAAGAACATGTATAGTCATTCTAAAGAAATCTCTCTCTATAACTACTTTTATAAGCTACGATATATGAAGTGTAAAAGAATCTGATTCACTTCCAATAATTTTTATTTTTTATTTTTTTTGGCACTGGGGATCGAACTCGGGTCCTTGCACTTGCACAGCACCGATAATTTTTAAAATCTAAAGTATTTAGCAAAAAGTGTTTCCAAAAAAGTTTTATAATAGAAAAAGAACCCTCAAAAGCCTGGCTTAAGCCTTGAGAATTATACAGTGTCAAAGATGGAAAACCAACAAAATAATTTAATTTCAGACACTGTTAATAACATAATCATGTCTGAAGGAGTTTAAAAAATTCACAACACTTTTGCATAAATACCCCAACCTTAAAAAAAAAAAATTTCTTAAAATTAAGTATTTATCTCCCAAACTAAAAATGGTAAAACAAACAAACAAAATTCACACTATCCTGGTTGTAATAAGTAAAGAATAGCAAAGAATGGTTAGACATAGAGAAAAAAACCTAAATTCTAAACACAACTTCACTAGTTTCTAGTGCAGCAATCTCACCAGACTATTTAACTTGTCAGGCCATTTCTCCATGTATAAAACTGCCAGCATCTCTCTTGGGCTGTGACTCTTCCTGACAATTGGAGCTGCAAAGATCTGAGACCATTCAGTCCCCACCAGAACTATATAAGTAACAGCCTAACAGAAACCACAGATCACTTTAGAGTAAACAACAGGTAAAGCCTATTTTAGGATTATAATCCTTATAATTCAGTACAACCATTTTAAATTTCTGTGGATGACTTTCAGGGCATGTCATTGCATTCCAGTATTTTAAGAGTTTGCAAGAATAAAATCAAAATTCTTCAACTTCTCTATTTTTAGAGTTTTAATAAGTTCTGTTGTTGTTTTGTTTTTTGAGACAGGGTCTCTCTATGCAGTTCAGGCTGACCTTGAACTCACTATGTAGCTGAGGCTGGCCTCGAACTTGCAGTGATCCTGCCTCAGCCTCCCGAGTGTTGGGATTAGAGGTGTGTGCCACCATGCCCGGCTCTAATAAATTCTGAAAGGGAAAAAACTACTGGCCAAAGTAAGGGTCAAAACTCTTTCCAGTCATCTCCATTGCCCCAAATAGGAAAGAACTGTTAAAGTTAAAACTGTCTCCATGCTCATTTCCCCAGGTGTTTTTCTTTTTTGTTACCGGAGATCGAACTCAGGACCTCGTGAGACAGGCGCCAGAACCACTGACCTAAATCCCCGGCTCACCAGATGTTTTCCTGCAAGTTAAATCTCATGAATTTGGAAGTATCATGAGGAAGAGAAAGAGAGACATTCAGAGAAATAACCTTCTCCAAAGTATTGCTGTATAAATTCCTAAACTTTAAAATATCAGAGAGTGGATGAGCCATAAAACTGAGGTTTTACCCTCTCTTGCCATTCACAATGTGACCAACTTTAGTCACTGAACTTCTCCGAGCTCAGTATTTTCCTAAGAGCAAAAGTAAATTACATTTCTGAGACTCAGTTCAATTCATTAGCAGCATACAGAATATAAAGTCAGGTTGGTTTGGGTAAAGCAGCAAAAATCAGTAATAGTACAAACAATACTACTCACACCCTAGGAAAACACAAAAAAGATGAGTCATTTAATAACGTGGTTTATAATGAAGGCCATAACTTACAAAGAAACATCGAAATAATGACATTGACCACTGTAGAAATGTTTACCAATTTTGTTCCTAACAAATCATTGAAAATAAGCAGTAACACCTCCAACAGAGAAAAAGGTTGATTTTATGCACATACATAGTTTCATCAGCTGATTGACTGCATTCCTGGACTGCTGCTTCCACTATAGATCGTTCGATCATGTTTGATGACACTGAAAAGAGAAAATCAAGGTCAAATTTCAAACAGGCATAAAAATTAGTTCTAGAAGGAGGATAATAAGAAAGCTACCATTTACGAAGCACTTAGTAAATGTGTTGCAGTGCTGAGTAGTTCACAAGCACTATCCCATTAGACAATGTTCTAGGTAACAATGATGTTAGTATGCCCATATCTTACAGATGGAGAAGGTATAACTTCGAGAAGTTTAACAGCCCCCCAGGAACACACTAGAAGGGGCAGAGAGCAACACAAATCCACGCCTTGACCCACTCTGGGACATCTTCAAGCGAAATGCTATGTGCCATCTTCAATTAATGTATAATTAACACATATAATAATTAATGATAACCATCATTTTCTAAATTTTCAGTTGTAAAGCAATTTTTGAAACAAAGGTGTATTTAGAATTCTGCCTCTAGAAGTGAAAAGAGGTATAACATCTTCCCCTATATCACAGAACATATTGCTTCCTACATAATTAAAGATACTGTCCCAGTACCTAGAAAACAGGAGAGAGAGCCACACCCACTTCTAGTCTTCTGGGCACTAGAAAGACTGGACATTCTTTTTTTTTTCTGAAAGACAACAGCATTTCTCCTTCGCAGACCCATGCTTGTGGTATCAGAATATTTAACCAAAAATATATATATATATTTAACCAAAAGCTCCTTGAAGAAAGAAAGAAAGAAAGTAAGTCAGTCAGTCAGTCAGTCTTGCTCTTTCTCCTTTCCCTCCAAACATTTTGGAGTACCTAACTTAAGACAAAGTGAGAGGCGTGCAGAGAGAAAAGTGACCCTAAAGACCAGATCAAATTCCAGAGCCAAGTGCAGAAAAGATGGCTATGTGGTTCAGACAAAGGTCTACTATCTAGAATCTATAAAGAACTTAAAAAATCAGACCCCCCCCAAATTTAAAGGCCCAATCCAAAAATGGGCATCTGAAATGAACAGACATTTCTCAGACAAAGAAGAAGAAACAGCA